CGCGGACCGGCGCGGCGGGGCGCGGAGAGGGGCGCCGACGGGGCTGGAGGAGGCGGAGGCGGCGGTGGCGGCGCAGGTGCGCTTCGTTTCCGCGTTGTCCCGAGGTGAGGGGGGCGGCTCCGCGCCGCGTCCCAGCGTGAGCCGTGGCGGAGCCGGCCGAGAGTTTTACCGGGTGCGAGAGCGGGGCCGGGCCGGAGGGCAGGTGGGTGAGCGGGGTGGGACGGGACGGGACGCCGCGCCGGGGGGAGCGGGCGGTGGGTTGGCCCGCAGCTCTCTGCCGGCGGGGCGTACGGGCGCTTCGTGCGGAGTTTGAAGCAGAGTTTCAGGTGTCGGTACGTGCTGGCTGCCTCAACACCTGCAGAGGAAGCGCTGTGTCCTGGGCCCGTGGGGAACGGCCCCTTCTCCTGGCGAGCTGGGGCAGGGAAACAGCTTTTGAAGCGGGGCCTGAGGCACCCAGACCCGGCACCCCACCGGTGTGAGAGCCTTATCTAAAATGCTGCTGAACGCAGGCCAGAAACACGGCAAGGTGAACTGCACAAGGCTGAATTTAGGTGGAATTCAGCCACCTGAAGGTCACTGAGTGTAGGTGGCAGAGGTAGGGGGGTAAACAAGTGGGAAGTTGAAAGTGATGTGCTCTATCAAAAAGACTATCAGCCCCGGTATGCTTTTGAGAGCTCCAGCAAGGTGAACTGCACAAGGCTGAATTTAGGTGGAATTCAGCCACCTGAAGGTCACTGAGTGTAGGTGGCAGAGGTAGGGGGGTAAACAAGTGGGAAGTTGAAAGTGATGTGCTCTATCAAAAAGACTATCAGCCCCGGTATGCTTTTGAGAGCTCTTGGTTTTGTGCATGTTGTATGGTTGGAGCTGCCATGTGCATCTTATGGAGGATGTATCATCATGGTTCTTTCGGGCACTCTGACACAGGGTGATGGATGCTGTCGTATATGCAAGTAATAATGACAGGCAGTGTCCATCCCCAGTGTTTTTAGTTTGTTGCAGCTTGGGTCAAGTTCCCTAGGGACTGGTCCCACGGCTTTCTTTTTGCACGTACCAACAACGTTCAGAGTGCTAAAGGGCTTGGAGTTACTGCTGGCTGTGCTTGTGTGTTGTTCAAAGGCTTACTAGAATGCCTAAAGCCAATGCTAGAGCTTCAGGATGCTGAGAAAGGGTACATCCACCAGATGCGATGGCAGGTATGTGGCTCGGAGCCATGCTGGATAGTGATTTTTTTGGCAAGGCCCGGGGTTAGGCTGTTTAGCAGAGTTTCTCCACTGGCCGTGAACCATGGTTTTCCAGGTTCACTTGAGGTTACCCATGAAATAGGCTGGCATACGGTTCTTCTGCAAGGGATTCCTTGACAAACACTGGCCGGTGCTCAGTTCTCCCCTGCTATGTCCAATTCTTTCTAAGAAACTTGATGCTTCGCTGGGAGTTGCCGATTCCACCCTGCTAACCTCCAGCCACAGAAGGCCTCCTGAGCTTTTTAGCATATCAGAATAGCGAAATGAGTCTCTCTAATTGGCCATTTAGATGCTAATTTGCTTCTCCTAGGCCTATGCCAGATCAACCTGCCCCAAAATGTGAGTCAGAAAGAGCCTGCTGTCTTCATGAATTATTCACTTTGCACAACACACCTGCCTGACTGGGGATCAGAAGGAAATGGGGCCAAAGTCTGATAATTAAAGATACACCTTGGCAGGTGGAACAGTGCTGGCTTTCCTCCCCAGCATCGTAGGGTGCTGGAAGACTGCTCTGCTTGGGGAAAAACTGGTTCTTTATAGCTTACCATATATCAAGTAGCCACGCTAATAACTGCCTCTCATTAATACAGGAGTGTTGGTACCATATGTCAGTTTTCCTGTAGAGCTGATTTTATCTTCCTGCTTGTGGGGCTGGCGGGGACCTCCAGGGCATTGTATTTTATAAGCTCTTTAATAAGCTTCATCTTAAAAGCAGTTAGGCTTCTTGCCACTGCTGCTAGGACTGGGAAGCAGCTCTGGTGCATGGAAACCTTTGTTTTACCCCCAAAAGTCATCCTCATATGCTCCTTTCCCAACTTGCCCTTATGTGGTAATGACACCTCTCACTTTTTGTTGTGCTGTGTCTGGGTTGTGTTTACTGGGTTGTGTTTACTTTGAGCTGGGGCAACCAGATCCAAATACATGGCTCTGAGGTCTTCCCTGTTTTGCTGGGGCTGGTACTGCTTAGATTGAGCTTTCATGGTTAGACAGACTGGAGAAAGTCTGTCTGATTGGGTTCTTAAGTTGTTGTCCCAAAGCTTGCCAAGGCTTTTTGGTGTTTATTTGGATATTGTGTTTTCCTTGTCTCTGTTGGCCCAAGCTTCAGCGATGCAAGTCAAGTCTGATCATATTGGATTCCTTGTGCCACTCGGCTCTCCATCTGCTGCTAAGGGTTTGTGCTGTTGTGGGGATTTGTCGCAGTAAGAAATTGCAAGAGGCCATTTCTGAGCCGTGCCCCTGTGCGCCAGCCCAGCTCTCTCCCTTCCTGAGAGCAAAAGCAGGAAGGTGGTGAGGGTCGCTTGGCTCCGCTGTGCTTGTGCTTCCTGCCTGCTTAGCCCAACAAAACATTGGTGCTTACAGCAGGCTCCTTTGCCACTGGAGGGGCTGAGAAACTGCTGGATGTAAGTGTGAAAGGGCAGTTCAAAGTGGTTTGTGTGTGAGGAAAAACTTTTATAAAGCCCTGATTCAGGCCAGCACTTGTACATACAGTTATTCCCCTTCTCCTTCTCTGAGACTTGGCTGTATCTTCAAAGTCAAGTGTGTGTCTTCTGCCACGCTTCCACAGCCCCAAGGGTTACTCTGTCACTTTAGAACAGTCGTGTGCTTTGAAATACAACTGTGGCAGCGGAATCGTTAAAACATGAGAGGAATACTTGTGTCTGGATTAAATGGCCTTTCCCTGCCTGCTCACACTTGTCTCCCTGCTGTGCGACTAGTGTCTGGGAGGAAAAGGGACTGGCCGGCAGTGGGTGGGAGGCAGAGGCTGGGTTAACCTTATCTATCTCCGCTAGTCATTTATCCTCTGTCATAGCAACAAGAGCAAACACTCACTTAGTTGCTAAGGTTTCCTGGGGATAATGGGGTCTGGTGTGCTGTGCAGAGAGTAATTACACTGCTTTTTTGAGGGAGCAGCAGCTAAAAGGAAAAACAGGCCAGCGCGGTACCTGGTGCAAGCTGGGAGTCCTGGGGGAGGTGACGCCCTCGAAGCAGGCGAGTTAATTACACCGGCACAGCTCGGCTTGGGAATTGGGAGCTCATCTCTGGCCAACTGTTTAATTTTTATTTTTTAAATGAAGTATTTAAAAAAAAAAATTGCCTAATTAATTTCCTATAAAAACAAATTAATATAGACACGAGCTGCTTAGCTGAAATAACCAGGCAAATGAAAGCTGACTGGAGAGCTCCTTATGGGCCTGTATAGGACGTTTTTGTATTTGCAGGGCTCCGAGGAATTCATGCTTCATGGGCACCTGTAATCAGCCCAGCTGCAGGAGGGCTCGTGCAGGCTGTGCTTTCGCTGCCGTGAGGAGGTGTTTTCTACTGCAGTGACTACCTCAATGTCAACAAGACCCTTCAGTTTTAACTTTGATGTAGTCAAGGTAAAGTCAAAATGTCTTTGAGGTGGAGGAGCGGGGAAGGGACTTGGTGTAGTGAGGTGATGCTAAAAGTGTACATGAGCTGAAAAAGCAAGCTGATACATTTCGGACAGAAAAATGTTAAGGGTGTTATATACAGAGCTACAGCCCGGCTCAGGGGGTACATGATCCAGGAATCTCTGGAGGCTGGGAGGGTATTCTGGAAAAGTATTGCTGTGTTGTTTCTGTTCTTATACTCTTCTTTAAGCATCTGCTTTTGAGGCTGGTCAGATAGCAGGTACTGTGTTCGCTGGACCTTTGGTATGACCTGCCATGACTGTGCTCTGTTATTAAGGTACAGATACATGATGTTCATGTTGTTATTCTGCTGAGAAAACTGACCTTCTTTCACAGAAAAGCCTGACATTCTTTGAAGAGCATCATGTCAAAGGGCTGTGGCTGTGTGCTGTCACCAGCTGGGGACAGCTCTGGGATGTGCTGACATAGCAACCTTCTGCCATCCCGGCCACCAGTTGTAGTTGGTACCGAACGTGCTGGTTATTGGAAGGAGGATCAGGAGTACACCTAGAAATGCCTCCTGTTGCTTTTCTGCTGCTGCTTCAGGAAGGTGTGCCTGCCACAGGATCCTTGACTGTGTGGCGTGGCATGGAAGGGTGTTCACCTCTACCTGTGCTTGGGGGCTATGTTGCTGCACAGCCAGCTGCAGCCCACCTTCATCCTCCAGGCCAAGTGGGAGCTGTCCAGTGGGAAAAATCCTGCTTGCTTTGCTGTCTTGCATATGTTCTGCAGGGGTGTGGGACCAAGTCAGCAGCGTGACCCTGCTGCTGCTCCCTTCTCTCAGACCCCACTGGAAGACTTCCACCTCGCAGACTGATGTCATGTTCTCAGGTGCCTTGCTCTCTGGCTGCAGAGTCCAAGTCTTATCGTAAAGACAGCAGAAGCAGTGCTACAACAGAGCTGCAGGCAGAGATGTGCTCAGTTACGCATCCTCCAAAATGCTCCGGGCCCCATGCAAAGGGTTGGCTCGCTGTGGGGCAGTGCTCCTTCCTTGCAGAGCTCACCTTAGCTTCTGTGCCAAGGGCAGCCAGGTGGACTCGGATTTAATGAGGTTTTGTTTCACATGACTTCCTCCATCATAGGAAAGGAACAAACAGGTGCAGAGTTTTTAAAGGAGGTCATAGAGTATTGATAAGAGCTCCCTTTTAACTCTTAATTCAAGTAAAAAGCAGAATCTTGGAGTGGGAAGTTTTCTTTCTGTAACACTAAGTTCTTCTTCTTTATCCTGTATGCAGTGTACTTGCAGCAGGGCCAAGAACTGTGAATTTCTCTTGCTCTCTCACTGCTAGAGACTGGCTGCTTCTGCCCTTTGTTAGCTTATTGAGAGGAGTGGAAGAGAGGGAGAGGTTGCCTCGCTAGAGACTGGCTGCTTCTGCCCTTTGTTAAGTTATTGAGAGGAGTGGAAGAGAGGGTGAGGTAGGTCCTAACTGGAGTATTTTTGAGAGAGAACACGGCAGAGGCTGACTATAAGAGAGGGGCATTTCACCACAGCCCATAGAAATGACTCCCCTGGATGGTGTGGTTTTGCTATCTTAGTGTTTCTGATTAGGCTGATTCCACTGTACTTCTTGTCCTGTACAGAGATAAGAGGGAGAATGCTTCATGCCTTCCAGATACTGGTACCATTTCTCTGGCATCATTCCTGTGGCCGTGCAAGATATTCCTTTCCCTCCACTACCACTAATGCTCCTGTTTCTGCCCCAGCTGACTGTGGCCTGCAACCCCATGTCCTTGTTTCCTTCTCCGAGGTAGTTGTGTCAAACCACACCAGGCTTTTTTTCAGAGGCAAAGGTGCAAAGCCACCTGCAATGCCAGTTTACATCAGAAGGAGCAGCAGATACCCAATGCTGCCGAAAGAAAATACTCCTGTAAATATTTTAGGGAATAATCTATCTGAAGACTGTTTTGGGATATAAAGGATGTCTAGGCTGTGTTTTGTTTTCCTTCTCCCTTTGCAGATGCTGCTCAGGGAATGGTGGAGAACAGAAAGCGTATGCTGAGTAACAAGAGGCAAAAGAGCATGACATTGCTTGTTTTTGTTCAGTCATGCTGAGAAAAGCGCACTGTGGTATGAGGCTGGAGAATGTGTTTAGGTCTCTCCTGAGAAAAATGCTTAGCTGATGTGCTCTATTCTGACTTGCCTTCAGCTCTGTTAGAGCAGATAAAGCTCTGCAGAGGAGGGGCAGATGTATTCAGTGCTGCTTTCCGCCCTGAAAGCACAGCGGCTGGCAAAGCAAACTCCTCTGCCCTGGCCATGGTATGGGGCTCATCTCCAGTTCTAGCTTTTATGCTAAACATCTTACAGCTGCCAAGTGCTGGTCACATCAGTGTGGTTGTGTGTGTTCAGCCTCTCCAGTGGACACTGAGCGCGTGGGTTGAGCTATTCTTCAGGTGTGTGTGAGTGGGAGGGAAGAATATGTGATATATCTGAAGAGTAATTTAATATATGCAGCTGTGGGGGGGGCTACATGTGTGTATCCTGTAGCAACACATCACAGGCTTGGAAAAATCTCTGGAAAATCCCAGATCAGCCATTCTGTGTGAAATTGTAGCTTCTCTCTGCTTCTAACCCTGGCCCGGGGGTGGGAGCCTTTGTATTTTTTTGCTGTTAATGCTTGATTGCTCCCCTGTGTGTGAGCTGCTGTGGGACGTGTGTGGGGACTGTGTTCTCTCCTCTCTTGAGATCGTGAAGAAGATGAAAAGAGCAGGAGGTGTTCTGGGACAAATGGAAATGCAAACCCACAGCTTGTGTAGCGCTGAGCAGAGTGGGGAAAGTAGTTGGCAAATCCAAGATGTCAGGGTTCATGGATTTCTTCTAGAGATGATTCCTCTCAAAAGTGGTCACCTTAACTAACGTAGTAGAGATTTAAAAAATTGAGTGTTATGTTGCTGCACAGCCAGCTGCAGCCCACCTTCATCCTCCAGGCCAAGTGGGAGCTGTCCAGTGGGAAAAATCCTGCTTGCTTTGCTGTCTTGCATATGTTCTGCAGGGGTGTGGGACCAAGTCAGCAGCGTGACCCTGCTGCTGCTCCCTTCTCTCAGACCCCACTGGAAGACTTCCACCTCGCAGACTGATGTCATGTTCTCAGGTGCCTTGCTCTCTGGCTGCAGAGTCCAAGTCTTATCGTAAAGACAGCAGAAGCAGTGCTACAACAGAGCTGCAGGCAGAGATGTGCTCAGTTACGCATCCTCCAAAATGCTCCGGGCCCCATGCAAAGGGTTGGCTCGCTGTGGGGCAGTGCTCCTTCCTTGCAGAGCTCACCTTAGCTTCTGTGCCAAGGGCAGCCAGGTGGACTCGGATTTAATGAGGTTTTGTTTCACATGACTTCCTCCATCATAGGAAAGGAACAAACAGGTGCAGAGTTTTTAAAGGAGGTCATAGAGTATTGATAAGAGCTCCCTTTTAACTCTTAATTCAAGTAAAAAGCAGAATCTTGGAGTGGGAAGTTTTCTTTCTGTAACACTAAGTTCTTCTTCTTTATCCTGTATGCAGTGTACTTGCAGCAGGGCCAAGAACTGTGAATTTCTCTTGCTCTCTCACTGCTAGAGACTGGCTGCTTCTGCCCTTTGTTAAGTTATTGAGAGGAGTGGAAGAGAGGGTGAGGTAGGTCCTAACTGGAGTATTTTTGAGAGAGAACACGGCAGAGGCTGACTATAAGAGAGGGGCGTTTCACCACAGCCCAGAGAAATGACTCCCTTGGATGTGGTTTTGCTATCTTAGTGTTTCTGATTAGGCTGATTCCACTGTACTTCTTGTCCTGTACAGAGATAAGAGGGAGAATGCTTCATGCCTTCCAGATACTGGTACCATTTCTCTGGCATCATTCCTGTGGCCGTGCAAGATATTCCTTTCCCTCCACTACCACTAATGCTCCTGTTTCTGCCCCAGCTGACTGTGGCCTGCAACCCCATGTCCTTGTTTCCTTCTCCGAGGTAGTTGTGTCAAACCACACCAGGCTTTTTTTCAGAGGCAAAGGTGCAAAGCCACCTGTTTCTGCCCCAGCTGACTGTGGCCTGCAGCCCCATGTCCTTGTTTCCTTCTCCAAGGCAGTTGTGTCAAACCACACCAGGCTTTTTTCAGAGGCAAAGGTGCAAAGCCATCTGCAATGCCAGTTTACATCAGAAGGAGCAGCAGATACCCAATGCTGCTGAAAGAAAATACTCCTGTAAATATTTTAGGGAATAATCTATCTGAAGACTGTTTTGGGATATAAAGGATGTCTAGGCTGTGTTTTGTTTTCCTTCTCCCTTTGCAGATGCTGCTCAGGGAATGGTGGAGAACAGAAAGCGTATGCTGAGTAACAAGAGGCAAAAGAGCATGACATTGCTTGTTTTTGTTCAGTCATGCTGAGAAAAGCGCACTGTGGTATGAGGCTGGAGAATGTGTTTAGGTCTCTCCTGAGAAAAATGCTTAGCTGATGTGCTCTATTCTGACTTGCCTTCAGCTCTGTTAGAGCAGATAAAGCTCTGCAGAGGAGGGGCAGATGTATTCAGTGCTGCTTTCCGCCCTGAAAGCACAGCGGCTGGCAAAGCAAACTCCTCTGCCCTGGCCATGGTGTGGGGCTCATCTCCAGTTCTAGCTTTTATGCTAAACATCTTACAGCTGCCAAGTGCTGGTCACATCAGTGTGGTTGTGTGTGTTCAGCCTCTCCAGTGGACACTGAGCGCGTGGGTTGAGCTATTCTTCAGGTGTGTGTGAGTGGGAGGGAAGAATATGTGATATATCTGAAGAGTAATTTAATATATGCAGCTGTGGGGGGGGCTACATGTGTGTATCCTGTAGCAACACATCACAGGCTTGGAAAAATCTCTGGAAAATCCCAGATCAGCCATTCTGTGTGAAATTGTAGCTTCTCTCTGCTTCTAACCCTGGCCCGGGGGTGGGAGCCTTTGTATTTTTTTGCTGTTAATGCTTGATTGCTCCCCTGTGTGTGAGCTGCTGTGGGACGTGTGTGGGGACTGTGTTCTCTCCTCTCTTGAGATCGTGAAGAAGATGAAAAGAGCAGGAGGTGTTCTGGGACAAATGGAAATGCAAACCCACAGCTTGTGTAGCGCTGAGCAGAGTGGGGAAAGTAGTTGGCAAATCCAAGATGTCAGGGTTCATGGATTTCTTCTAGAGATGATTCCTCTCAAAAGTGGTCACCTTAACTAACGTAGTAGAGATTTAAAAAATTGAGTGTGACACTTCTGTCTGTCCTGCGTGTCTCAACCCTCATTCTCTGCTGAACCTTTCTTCCAGCCTCCCATCTCCTTCTTGCTGTGCTTTACTATACAGTCAGACTGTGCTGCTTAGCATTATGCTGAATTATTGGAGCCTCCACCCTTCTTATACATCTGTCCCCCTGCACTGAAGGAAATCTGTGCTTTTTGTGGAGTTCCTTCTCTTCTCTCCTGCCTGTAAGCACTGAGTTTTCAGACTCTCTCCAGAAACTGGATGGTCAGAGGAGGGGCAGCAGTTCCATTGCTTGTAACCGTTCTGGCTCTCAAGGCTGGGGTGGGGTTTGGCAGGAGATAGCTGTCAGTTCCCTAACACGGGTTTGTGTTTCCATGCCGGGGGGTGGGTGCGACGTCTGTGGCACGTGTGAGCTCAGCCTGGGGAAAGAGAGATGGATTTGCACAAACTGCGTGCCTGCTTGTGTAAGAGGGCCAAGGCCACGCAGCCTGTGATGCCTCCCTGCCTGGCACAGAAGCAGAGAGCTCTGTGTGTCAGCAGCAGATAGCAAGCATAGGTGCAGCACGCTGAACCACGGGCACTGGTGGGGTAAGTGTGCTGTGGATTGAGACTGGAACATGTGTTTTCTTGGGAACTACTGCATAGTTGGCAGGTGATATACCTTGCCTGCTATTGTATCTGATTTGTGTTTGCCAACCAGCATTAAACACGTTATCTCTGCCCAGCAGGTATGCTAGTTTCAAAGCTGGCATGTGTCTGTTCTGGGAAAGGTAAGTATTAATACCGGGAAATTTATGTATTAGGGCTCATGAGATACTTGCTCTGCTGGAGAGCAAATCCATCTGGGGAAAAGCTCGATAAATCAAGACTAGTTTTGCTGCCACTGAAATTTTTTTGGCTGTGTCTGTCTCTTGGTGCTTTCCATTCATCTGAGCTGCTGGTAGGACTCAGAACTGCCTAGCTGCAAAGTCTCTTCTGGGAATGTGTTTCTCCCATGAGTGTGTGGAAGTTGGCTCTTCCTGCCTTTACTGATCAGTTCACGGTGAAATTGTCACTGAACACAAGGAATCACCAGTGTGACCATGCTGGTTACAGGAGCTGCAGTAGCAGATCTGCTGCAAGAGGTGCTGTCTTAAACATCAGAGAATGCAAACAAGCTTCTATTGTAGGCTGTAGTTATAAATATCAGGCTATTATGGAGGCAGTTTTAATGAACGAAGTGACTTGCCACTATTCATGCTGATTGTCGCGTGGGTTTTTGTTTGTTACCCCATTAAGAGGTTAAAGAAAAAGCAACTGTAGCTTCTTTGTGTCCTTTATAGTGGCTTTGTCTGTCAGGACTGCAACGTTGGGTGATGGGGCAGAGATTGTTCTTACAAACAACGCTTTTCTCTAGTTTGAAATGAAAAATCAGAACTGACAAAGACTCTCTGGCTTTTCTCAGAGTACCATAAAATCTAAACTTCCAGCCTTGTCTTCAAGGTGTTTGAAGGTATTTATTGGCTTATATTTTATGAGGATAATGGTATGTTTTTTATCACCATCTGTGGGTGAAAGTCTGTCTATTTCCATTGTGTGCAATGCCAGTGGATCACCTTTGTTTTGCTTGCCAGAAGAGTGGCCCTTTGGGATGATTAATAAGGCCGTGCCAAGCGCTGCCCTGTGCTTTCTTGAGGGTGGGGTGGCAGCTGTGCTCAACGCTGGTGTTTGCTTCTTACAGGTGGGATCTCTGCTGCTCCTCCCTAGCGTGGTGCCATGGCTGACACGATTTTTGGCAGTGGGACAGGCCAATGGGTGTGCCCCAACGACCGGCAGCTGGCACTGCGCGCCAAGTGAGTCCTCACCACCCCCTTCTTCCCCTTCCAGCCTCAGCTCTAGCCTGAATGGCTTCCTGTTGGAGGGAAGGGCTTGGAGGCAAGCTTATATCTCTGCAGCACCCTAAATACAATTGATAGTATCCCCCAGCTGCCAGCACTCTTGTTTTAAGAACTTGTCATTTGATCTCATTTCCCCCTGAAGTTAAATTACTGCATAACATAAAGACAAAATGGATGGAGATGAGTCAAGCACTAGAATTGCATTTGTTTCTTGGATGCTTTCCTTCTCTGGTGGACGGTACCCTGCCACATCCATCTCTGCTCTTCTCTGAACCTCTGGGGTCAACCTGCTGCAAAACGTTAGAAAATAGGAGGTCACCCTGTGTCTGATGGGACTGCCTGAGTGTGAAAAGTGCACACCACTGCCACTTCTCCAACCTTCACCTGAAGGCATCATTAAGACAGCTGTGTCTGATAGTGCCCTGCATTTTCCTAGCAGCTGTGACTTTATCCAATGACCTCTAAACCCCTACTGAATGGTAATTAATTGAGCTGTGAAAGCTTCTGCCTGTCCCCAGGTGGGCTAAGGAGAAATATCATCTGTGTATGTGAGTCATGGAGGCAAGTGGTTGGCTAAAGTTCTCGTGCAAGCCTGGGTTAGTCCAAGGGAGGAAGTTGCCGAATTTTCATTTTCAAGTGTGCCTGGTGATTTATGTGTTTGAGCTGGGGACCTTAGAAACATGTCATCTGGAGGGAGGAGGGTGAGGTAATCCCTTTGTTTGGGAGTCTGCTGTTGGCATTTGTGGTCCCTGGCATCTGCACCCATTTCTGCAAGGGTACCCCCAGGTTAACCAGGCCTCAGTGCACTTGTTATCTCTATGGGCAGAGCCAAACAGGGATGAGGACATGGAGTGGTAAAATAGAAATTTGAGCAGAAAGGAAATAAGAGGGCAGGGAGAGACAACGCAGCACTTGGTGCTGCTGGAGGAGTGACCTGGTGATCTGGTTAGAGAGAAGAGACTCCTGCTTTGGGTGTTAGCCAGGTAACGGACTTCTCTGATGGAAGGCTGACGCAGGCTTTGTGTGCCTGACAGGGCAGAGGTTTTGTGTTTTCCTTTCACAGCTTAATTCTGCCCTCCACCCCCTCCCACAGGCTCCAGACGGGCTGGTCGGTGCACACGTTCCAGACTGAGAAGCAGAGGAAGATGCAGGCTCTGAGCCCACAGGAACTTGAGGTCATTCTGGAAGTCATCCGCAAGGCGGAGAAATTGGACATCATCGAGCAGCAGCGCATCGGGTACAGTCACATTCATTTGTCCCCTTCCCTCAGAGGGAAAGGTCAGCGCAGACAGAGGAGTGGCTCTCCCAGCTGCCTGAGCTCAGCCTCCCATCAGTCAGAGCATCTCTTAGGTCAGTTATTTTCCCCTCCCATGTTGCTTGTATGGAGGTGATGAATATCGGGAAGGATGTAATGTTTTCCTTCTCTCCATGTCTCAAGCCTTTCTCGTGGCTTGGGGCTTGCTCTGGTTGCAGCCAGGGACACAGTCCCTGGGAAATGCAGCCTGTGCTAAGGCAGCTGCCCCAGTGGCTCTGGAAGAGGCTGGGGATGATGCCGAGTTGTGCAGCTGCACCCACTGCTTGTGGGCAGCAGGCTCAGAAACTGCTGCTGGCAGCCCAGTTAGGTTTTCCCTTGTCTGCAGCAGCCCCCTGGGATTTTGCCTGGAGCAGTGAATGAGTTTATGTTCTAGTTGGCTGAGCCCTCTGGAAGGGGTTTGCTGGCTTGAATTATTTAATTTACAGGCACCCTTTTGCTGCTTCAGATTTCCATTTGCTTTCAGTCCTGCTGGAGGTCTGGCCTCAGCTGTCTGTGGTCGTCCTACACTGAATGCCTTTAAAGCTGGGGAGTTCAGCAGTCCTGCAGCATTTCCCAGCAGTGTCTTGTGTTTGTGAGACAGGAAACCCCCGAGACTCCCAGCCCATGTCCAGCAATGCCAGCCTCTTGCCCCTGTGCTTCACTCTGTCCCTGTGCAGTGCATGTTAGTGAGTGCTAACGAGAACTAACAGGGATGTTTGTGTGATATATAGGAGACCTCAGCAGCTCCAGAAGCAGCCAGCAGCTCTGAGCGGCCTGTCATTCCTGTGTGGTTGTTGCAGAAAGCAAGAGCTCTGCTGTTCCCATACTGAAACGGTCTCTGAAATGCCTTTGTTAACTCCTGGGAGTTCTCTTGTGCTGAAGTCAAGGATCATAAATCTAGTAATGATGGCTCAGCCTGGCTGTGCTGTGTGACCTCATCACCATAGACAGTACCTCTTTGAAATAGACCTTACCTTCCTCTCAGTGCGGGACTTGGTTGATGGGACATTAGTGCTAATGAGAATGGGGTTGTGTGGACAGCAGGATTGTGTTTCCTCCCTGAGCTGCACGCAGGCGCATGGCTGCGGCTGGTCACTGCTTCTGATAAATGGCCTGGCTGTTATCGTCCCCATCTACAAATGGATGCCTGAGAATTGCCAAGCAGTGATCTCATGACAGCAGCCTTGCTCTGCATGCTCTCCACATCCTGCATCTTAATTGCCTATCCCGCCTTCCTTCCCTTTCGTAGTCCTGCTGCTATGGACATCGTGCATACATATATGCTTCCTGTCTTCCAAGCAGGCTATCAAATGAAGCAGGGAGCAGTTACTGGCATTCCTGTACTGCAGACGGGCTCATTCTGGTCTGATGGCTTCAGTCTGGCCTTCCTGCTTCTAATGTGGGCAAGTCATGTGCTGCTTTCAGGGAGTATATGTAAAAATGGAGCAGGGCTTGCCAGGTTTTACTCCTCTGTCCTTTCCTTGGGCGATCTGACTTGCCCTGATCTGAGCACTAAAGCCCCTTCTGGCTCTACAGTCAGGAGATCATTGTGCTGAGGCTGTGTGGCCCCAGTGACACTGAGCTCCTGGAGGGTGCAGTATCAGTCCCTTCTTGTGAGGTATCTGCCGTGTGCCCACTAGCTGAGTCAGGCCTCTCGGTGATATTTACAGTCTTGATTATTCTGGGCTTGGTGAGCCTTGGTAGATGGACTTCCAGGGGTTTATATTCCCTGAAGACCAAGAGCCAGCTGATAGGAAGCATTGAGTGCAGAGACTGAAGTGAAAGTATGTATGGTCCCAGCACGTCTGCAGGTTTTCCGCATGCCTCAGTACCATGGTCTTTGATTTCCAGGGTGAGTGCTGTGACCTCTGCTCTGCCTCTTCCCCTGCAGGCGCCTGGTGGAGCGGCTGGAGAACATGAGAAAGAACACGATGGGGAACGGCCTCTCACAGTGTCTGCTCTGCGGTGAACTGCTCGGGCTGCTGGGTAGCACATCGGTCTTTTGTCAAGATTGCAAAAAGGTGGGTTTGTTCACACAGGTTTCTGCCTGTTCCTGGTAGCAGATCTGTATAGGAAAGGCCACCCGTCCTCTTGGAAGCTAGATAGCTCTGCTGAGTTAACTTACCTTACCCTTGACTTGTCGAGGTCGGTGCTGTCAGACCATCAGGTTTTCTCTTGCACCCTGGTTATTTTGTTTCTCAGGATCCTAAAGTGCCTAAACTGCGCTTAGTGCTGCGATGGGGTGCATCGGCCCCCTCTGCATCTCCCACTCTGGGTTTGCAGAGTGGGAGAAGGGGCAGAAACATATGGCCATCAGAGGCAATACATAAAAGATTTTGTGTGCTTCATTGTTATTTACTGCAAGGTGTGCCCTTAGACCTTCCAGTAACGCCTCTCTTCAGAGGACTCAAGTCCATCTTCAAGTTCCAAACTAGTGTAAGGTTTCCAACCCTGATACATAAATCAGCCTGTGCATCAGTGAGTGCCTGTGTTTATGTTGTTGGCAGGACTGCACGGGTGCTGCTGAAAAGGCAGCATCAGTTTTCAGGGAGACTGCTGCCTGGGGGACGACTGTCTAGACTCTGCAGCCAAGGGGTTAATGTGTATTGCTGTGGAGATGATGATCTCCAAGGCAACCACCTTATCCTCCCTCTGCTGGGAGGCTGTTTTTCCTGCACTTGAAGCCCATCTTTCCCTGGGGAGATACCTCTGTTAAGTGACATTGCCTCAGTGTGTTGCCTGGGGAAAGGTGAAGATACCTGCTGGGTGTAGGAATGTTTCTGATTTCCTTATGGTAGGGTGGAAGGGAGCAACCTGTGCTGACTCTGTCCCTGGTGGGTACCAGAGCCAAGGACACACTTGCCGATGTCACCCACCCTGTCTCTGAGGACCCCACAGGACAGCGCTGAGTAAAACCTGCTCCTGTATCATGGAGTGGTGTATTTTGGGATCTCTGTGTTTAAGCCAACCATGCAGGCCATGATGGAGAACCTTTCGTGCTGGCACTGCTAGATTTTGTGAGATGCAGTTCTCATGCAGAGCAGGCCACCAGGCTTGGCCTGCACTGGTCCACAGCTGGCTGCAGCACTGCTGGGCATAGAGCTCTTGTAAGAGAGAGAAAGGAGGTGGGTGCCTCTTGTTGTCAGAACTGAGGTCCCAGCATCTTTCCATATGTGCTCACTGGGCAAGGAGCTGCTGTGAGCTGTGCTGCCCTTGCTGTCGAGTGAGTTTTTTCACTGCATCCAATTTGCAGAAGTAGCTTGACTGAGGCAAGGGTTATGCAGAAGATTGCGTGTAAGGCAGTGACTGGGAAATTAAACAGAAATCTTTGAACGCCTGGGTCCTAAGTCAGGGAGAAAGTAGCTTTTTAGGAGGGAGTGGGGAAGGAAGCAGCAGTAGGGTACTAAAAAGTGAAAGGTTTGGTTTGAATGGGAGCTACAGGGCAGCTCTCTTGGAGAGGAGCATGGGCTCTGTGCACATGCATCCGTGGAGAATAAAAGCAGACAGGAGACAGCTAGCTGTTTCCTGCATTTCCAGCATGTGGAATAACAGGATGTGCTGTATTCTTGCCTTCTTCCTTTGGTGATTCTGCTCTCACCTTGTCCAAAGCCAGCTAGGTCACATTGCCATGGTGCTTTCTAACCTCCTTCCTGTGAGCCCTTTACTCTAATGAGGAAGCAAAAGCTGATTCAGACACTTCCACACCCTGTTCATTTGCAGTTGCAGGTAGTAACCCCCCAGCTGGTGAGGCTCCAGGAGGGCTGTGATCAGAAAACCCCAGAGAAGGGCTGTTTGGGTTTTTTTATGACTATTCTCTTTTTGTCTGGAATCTGTTGGACAGTTCAGGAGCATTCATATCCAGGTTGATTTTAGGTGAGATCCTACGTTTCCAGTGTGTGTTTTGCAGCTGCTTTCAGCTTGGCTACGCTTTTCCGCTGTGTGCAAGCTGAAGGAGATGCTGAGTGGATGGCCTGGGCTTCTCCCCTTACTGCTTTTTAATGTTGTGAACTCAGGGAGCAGTCAACCCTTCTGCAGAGCAGAGTGGACTGTTACTTTAAGCTCATTCCCACTAGTTCAGGGATATCCATCACTCGTGCAGTGCTGTATGCAATAAGCAATGACTTGTCAGGGAATTATGGATTTTTAAAGTTCATATTTTTCTTGCTAGCGTTTCTCTGTTACCATCTCATTGCAGCCCGTTTAATTCAAGGAATTGTTATAACGATGCAAATGTAGCAAAGAACTTCAGCAAGACCCTTCTGCTGAATAGAGGTTCTATATTTCTTGTAGCCTGATGGATTTTCTAAGTGCCACTTTCTGCTTTATGAAAAATGTTTTTAATATTAGTTTTTATTATCTTAGATATAAATGCATTATGGCAAGACAAAGATGTATGCAAATCCAGATGTGTTAACAGTAGCAGTAGCTAGACAAAGCATAATGTGTCATTTGCCATACAGAGGGTATCAGTATTGTGTATAACAGGTGAAGTATAAGCAGGAGAAGAAAGTGCTTTATCTTGTATTTAATGGGGAATGGGACTGTGCTCAATGTCCTTGATTTTTATGTCTTCTTCTGAGGGGTTGTGAGTGATGCTCAATTTTTCAGCTAGTCTGCAGAGAAGGGGAGGAGGAAAGCCCTGTTTTGTAGTGGAACTTTCAGAATTTATGGCTATGAATAAAATTGCTTGGAAACTTCCACTAGAGGGAGCGTTTGAATGTGCTATATGTGTGGGGATTGGGATCTCGGAGGGTATTTGAGACTGAGTTGCTCCCTCAGATTTTGGTTTGAGGGAGGGAAGATTTGGTGTGGTTCAGGTGGCCTCTGCTAATTGCATCTGCAGTCCTGCTAGGCTTGGGTAGCACCATGTTGGGTGTTGATGCACCACACCCAATGGATTGTTTCTTATTTCTCTGGGAGGATGAGGGCAAGGACAGGAACAGAGTGATGGAGAAGAGCACCAACCTCTGTGGAGCTGCTGGTGAGACCTCCTGCTTTCTGTACAGCATGAGTCAGGGACAGACCTGCCTCGGGACTACACTGCCCAAAATAGTTGGGTGCATTTATTTGTACAATGAAGCCATTGCCCCCAGGTACCATCGTTCTGCCGCTGTCCTCCAGGTGTGTGCACTGAGGGCTAAGTGAGCCACTGAGCCTTTTGTCCCTGGACACAGGCATCCTGGCTCAGAAGAGGAGCAGCCTGGGTAGGGGGATATGTAGAACTTTAGTTGGGGAGATGAAATTCACATGTCTCTCTAAGCAAGGTGTTTTGCTCTCTAGGGCCCTCTTGTGAGTGGCTTTTGCTCTGTGAGGATCAAAGAATTCATCCAATTTCTCATTCAAGCTGTAAGCCAAGCCTGATACACATCAGCTTCATTATATAATATTAGGTGATTCAGGTTGTAAATGGCCAGCGGAGACATGAAAGTTCCCTTGTGCAGCAACAGAGGCCGTGCGGCGCTATCAAGCATTCTGCTCAGGAAACGTGCATGTAGGCACGGTCGTGCCCGCTTCCTAAGCAGCCACAAATCAATAGCTGCCGAGTGCGTGCTGAAATGGAGGGGAAGCCACTGGGTTTAAGACTACGTATGTGAGGGAAGGGAGGAGAGGATTTCCAGTCTTGCACAAATTCGCGTTCATTTTATACTTGGTTATAGCTGCTTTCCATGCCACAGTGATTAGGTTTTAGGATTTAGAGGAATAAAAAAAATACTCTGAAAACATGTCTGTCGGTCACAGGGTTTGATTTGCCTTGTCCAGTTCTCGCCCTGGAGTCAAGAACTGTGCTGTAGATTTGCCTTTGTCTCACGTCCACATAGACCTGAAGCAGCTTCCTGTGATCAGTGGTTCTCCAGGGTAAATAAGAAAATTGTGCCATGTTTAGATTTTTAAGCAAAACAGAACTGTTGGGTAGATGTTTCTCAACCTTCTTTCTCCCAAGGGCTCTATGGCTTTGGAGAGTTGCTAATGCCATCTTTTTTTTTTTTTTTCTTTTTTTCCTCTTCTTGCTTCAGAAAGTTTGCACCAAGTGTGGAATAGAAACCTTTGGAGCCCAGAAACGTCCTCTTTGGTTGTGCAAGATCTGCAGTGAACAGAGAGAGGTAAAATACAACTGTGGAGAGATGGGGCTCAGCAGCGTGCATCTACCTGCCCCAAGTCTGTGCTGAGTGTATGTGGGCTCTTCCCTGTGCCTGGGCACTGGGAAGGGAGCTTGGGATGGGGTTTGGGAGGCTTGGCTGGAGGCTAGGCAGGCTCAGCGAATACACACAGTGGTGACAACTTTGGTTTATAAGAGGTTGAAGGGAAAAAAAAACCCACCAGCACCTGCAGCCTGTATGGCTTTGTGGAATTTTTCTAGCTACAGTCACAAAGAGACTGTTATGTTTTGCTGCTACACTCTCTCTCCTAGTTTTGTGGCAAATAAATTTGGCTAACGCTGGTTCTTTAATACAGCTGGAGAGATCTAGAGCATAGCTGCAGTATTTGTCCCTCTAAAAATAACTAGGATTGCAGCTTTTAAGTCTGTTTTCCTCCCTGCCTGCAAAATCCCATAACTTGCCAGTGTGTGAGACTTCTAACGTAGGTCTCTAAATTTTTATATCCTTCATCCTTGACTTTACACTGCAAAAAAGTAATGGCCTGCCTCAATCCTCATCTGCCAGCCAGCATCCAGCAACATCAGGGCTTGCTGCTTTATGGTGAAGTCAGTGAATTTGTTCTGTGATTACAGAAGGATTTTCACTTGTTCCCATCAATTTATTTTGGCCTTTTGCTTGTGGTCCTTGAACATCAACCCAGCGCAGCTATTTCTGACCACTGCAACCAACTGTGAAACCTGGGTGCTCTGCTAAATCAATTTTTGGAGTGTAGTGAGAGCATTTGTGCAGGTGCACAAGATGCTGAAATTTTAGATGCTAAGTGGAAACTTAGCATTGCTTAGGTTTTACAAAGGAGGAGACGGTTTGTGTGGGAGCACTTACAAAGCTGATGTTCAGGTAAGATGGTACATGGACACTGCTGGCCTTTCACTTTGAGCAGTGGTGTGGGTAGGGCAGCAGAGAGCATTCTAGCTCCTTGAATATTGCTAATAATTTGATACACTGAACCATCCGGATGTTTTGAATTCCAAATGGAGGTCCCAAAAGAGAGAGTGAGGCAGGTCAAGATATTTTCTGTGTACTGCAGGGAGATGGGTGTGGGACTAAAACTGACTTTATTTCTTTTATTCTGTTCTTTCTGGATTTTTTTACTCATCCCACACAGTATAATTTGGCTTTTTTTCCAGTTTCTTATAAAAATAATGAAAAGGCATGATCACTGAACAGAGAAGAATATTAACCTGTCCAGTAAGTGTTATGTGTGGCCAGTGTGAGAGGGTTCGGTGACCTTCAGAGCTCACTCTCTTCATGAAACCTGAGATACGGCCAAAGTGCTTCCCTAATGAAAATGGATGGAACTTTCCCTCTTAGACTAACAAAAAAATAACCTCATGTTACCTCCCAGCCCTAAGCTTCATCTTTATTTTTTTGATTCTCTTTAAGATTGGTTCAGCTCTGTCTCCTTTCTTGTTTTAAGTGCTGCCGGTGCCCTGACCAGGAGAAGGTTGGAATGGTTACAGTGTGGACATGCAGTCAGGCATCAAGTCATACATCCCCTCTGTCTTTTCACATGCTCTGCTTTTATTCTAGGGGAAGGCAGGGAAGCATTGAGAATTAGCAGAAGCCTTGAGGCATGTCAGCCAGGGCAAGGAAGTTAAGGCAATATCAGAATAAATGTCTAGAAAGTGGCTTTGATCAGGTCCTCCCTAAGAGTCCGTGTGAGGAAGAGATGAGGCTTTTAGGCCTCAGGCTGATGGCTGGTACTAGTGCAGTTCCTGAAGCTGGTTCAGGTGTCACGATGTTAGAGAGCATGCACTAAATTACCAGGTGTCTTTTAAGGGCTTGTGTGCACAACCAGTTCCTTGTAGCCATCTGTTTCTGTGATCTAGATCTGTCTTGTATTGCCATCTGCTCTGGACCAAACCCATTTGGCCATGCTCTTTGCTGAAGATTTGCTATCAATGAGTGCAGGTGGATATCTGCTCTTTGGGGTCAAATATTCTCATTTCTGTCTCGCCTGCACAGTGAGTAGGTATCAGCTCCATTTTATTTCCTGGGATCCAGGTGGGGAGCGTCAGGAACCCACCAAAGCACTTTGGGTTGTGTGATGCAGTAACAAGCCAATACCACCCCTCTCTCCCCTTCTCAATGCAGAGCATGACTGAGCAAGGTGGTTCTTCAGCTCATGCCAACAAAGCGTGTGGTTAAAGTAGGCTTGTCCCCAGGCCACAGAGCTCTGGCAACAGCTCCCAATTTGTCGAGCCACGCTCAGGCCCCTAAATTTGGCCAGCTCTAGTGGGTGAGCATTTGATGTTGGTCTGGAGTGCCTTTCTCAGCAGGTGTGATGAGATGTGGTGTTTCCAAGCCAAGTGATTCCCTCCACATCAGTGCTTTGATCGCCGTCTGTAATTTTCTGAACCACCGCTCAAGCTATTTGGGCATGATATTTATGAAGCTCTCAACTCTGTTAGCGAGAGACTGTCAGGCACTGAAGTGAGAAAGGGAGGTCATTCGGAAACCTGGATGGACTAAATGATGTTGGCTGGAGTTAATAGGTGTCATCTGGCTGGGACAAGAGCCTAGGACTGTAATTGTCGTCTTTAGCCTCTGCCACACACTGAGGGAGCACGTGAGTGTGGTGGCCCACCAGGATCTCAAGCCAGGGTGGTAGAGTTGGATGTTCACATATACCAGCTAACAGCCAAAGTGTGCAGCATTGTTCATACATGCTAAATCTTCCATCCCTCCATCTTCCTTGTTATTATTTATCTGTATAGGCTTAATTTAAGCTAGTGTAAGTTCAGTGGTGTGGTAGTCATCTTCCCCCTTTTGTTGCGTGGACAGAATCTTTGCTGGCTTCAGGTATGATTAAGTCATCAGTATGCCTGGGTCAAAATGAAGACCAAAGTAACAATCTATTGTTTACATCAGTCTTGTAGTTGGAGCTGCATGTTTGATGCCCATAGATCCCTTTGGTGTGGAGGCTGATCCTCCTTGGGACAGTCCTATTTCTCCATGCATATGAAGTCCTGAGGCTGATCCCACGTTGGCCACAGGTTTGGAGTGAGCCTGTTGGCTGGCTTAGCAGTGATGCACGCACAGGAATGAGAGAGCTGGGCAGGAAGGGAGCAATTCCTTCAGCAAAACAAGCTTATTGCAGTGCCTGTCAGAGGAGCAAAACTGCCTGGGAGGAGCTGCAGTGGGCATGAGTACAGCTGGAATGATTCTCTGCTGCCAGGCCTCTGGCAGAGCACGTGAGCTTAATAACAGCTTGGGCAGCAGCGCCCGTGTTGAATTAGTCGCGTGTGGCTGAAATCTGCCTGTCACCTCTGGCCTGAAGGGAAAATGGGACCTGCTGTGTTTTGTCAAATCCCTGCCCAGCCGTTTAACTCCCTGCACAGCCTTGTTTTGACTGATACCACCAGGTTCTGCAAAGCACCTTTCTGAATTACCACTTTATATATATTTTTTTTTATATCCATAATTAGCGATGCTATCATCGTAATTAAAATCCTCTTGGAAACGTTCGTGCACATTTACATTTGAATTGACACATCCAAAATTGTAGCGATAATGAAAACAGTTTAAGTAGGGTGGGGGGAGATAGCTTTTTTTAAACCCCATCGAATATGAAAGAGAGTGTCAGCTATCAGGGACCTGTTAAAGTTTTAATTTGCCCTCTCTGCTTCACTTTCCCTTTAATTTCTTCTCCCTCACTAAACGGCATTTTCATGGCTGGCTGCATTTCTTGGTTTATCACAATAAACCATGCAGAGGAAGAAGATTACTGCGCTGGAGGAACGGAGTTGTCTCCTCCCCTTTTGCCCCCAGGGCTTCCCTTTTCACATATACATTCATACCATTTTGAACATTATAAACCAACATAGCCCAGGGTTATTCCTGCCTAGCATGATGATTTCTTGGCAAAATACCATACTGATGGAGGGGAGTGTTTATTTTGGGTGACTCTGGATTGAATCGAAGTGATGTGCACCTGTTTGCAATTCAAAGAACTCATCAATAGCCTGCCATATTATTTTGGGGGGTGGTAGCAAGTGGTTAGACTCAAAATAGTGTCCTCTAGAATAGAGCCACAGGGGGAAAAAAGAGGCCTGATTGAGAGGGGAATGATAAATCGTTGAAGGCTGGCAGCCGTTGCAGCTTGAGAAACGTTGGGGTCAGAGGTGCGATAGATTTTGCTATTCCGGAAACAAAGCTCCGAATAGCAATTTCACTGCCTTTTAATTTTCTTCATCCTCAAGTGCTGAATGTGGGAGTTGACAACAGATTGCTGTAAATAATGTAATTGGAAATCTCTGTGTTATGGAAAAGCAGATGAATGCAAATAACGAAGCTGAAGAGCGCTTGCTCTTTCTCCTTGCCAGTGGTTTGCAGCGTGCCAGAGCCATGGCGGAGAGCTGGGACAAAGTGAGTGTGTGGGCATGTGCTGCGTGAGGGCAATGGCAACGAAGTCCTCCCAGGGTGGTTGCATTTGCAGGTGCCTTTCTCTTCATTAAGCATTGTAGCCCACGAGAACCTGCTCCCCCGCCTTTTGGCCGCTGAGGGATTGAGCCAATGACACCGGTGTCAGCATGGGAAGCTAAAGGTAGCTGTTTTCCTCTTGCACAGCCCAGTCTGGGCTGCTGTGAAGAAAGGGGGCTGCAGAATGAGAACAAGCTACTTCATGGCAAGCAGTAGGTGGTAGATCAAAATATGGCTTTGCAGCAAAGATCCTTTCTAAGCACCTCTGTACAGGGGACTTGCAGCTTGGTGAAGCAAACTCAGGGGGGGACGGGCTGCAACTGTTTTTTATCACACTTCAGCTGTGATCCCATCCATTCATCAGCAAGTCCTAATATTTCCTCTGTTTAGGAGCCTGTTCTAGCGCTTTTATGTTCAGAGAAGGAGAAAGAGGAGGGAGAAGTTTAAGCAGTAATATGTTTCACCAGGACCTAGTGATACTCCTTTAGGTCCCATTTACAAGCTGCATTTGAATGTGCTAGATAGAAATACGCATCTGCTTCTGACTGTTTCAGCCTGTAGCTGTAATGATGTCTTGATGCAACTTTAATAGGAATATTATCAAGGTTATAAAAGGTATTGAGCTGTCTGGACTTGTCACGGACGTGGCCATTAAATTGGTTTGAAGTAATGAAAAAAAAGGAGTCTGTTACTAAAGCAGCTCTTCTCCCTTGTGTCCTCCCCAGCTTTGCTTTAGGGTAGTTTAGGTCTCAGGGGAGGCAGAAGGACAGGAGCCTGAAGGAAGTCAACATTTAGCACGGATTTTGGGTTGGCTGGTCCAGCTTGAGTGCAGCAGGCCAGATGCTGTGGCTGCTGTGTCCTGAGCTACACGTTGGGCTACCCTGTCCTGATCTGGGAATTCAGGTACAGATCTTTACTCCCATTTGTCAAGCACTCAGAGCAAGAGATGATCAATGTTACTCAGAATTGGGTTGTTGCAAGAGACTGGCAGTGGCTGGCTGTCCCTCTTACTGATGAAATTCTAGCTCCACCCAAACTCAGGCTACCGTGGGCTCAGGATTTCACCTTATGTGCCACCAGGACTGGTGGGAGCAAAACTCTCTTCTCCTTGGAAAGAGTGGACTCATGCTAATAAACAGGAGTTTTATTCTTGAATCACTGTTATAGATTTATTAATTTAAAATCAAACAAGAACTTTGCTGTCGGGCCACTCTTGCAATCAATGAAACTACCATCAATATCAGTCAGTGTCATCGATTTGTTTTGATGCATGGACACTAAAACTAACCTGTGTGCAGAACAGGACGTGAGCTGCAGCTGTTTCAGATGGGGCACGCCGCTAACCTGGGGGGAGCAGGGGAACTGAGTTAATACAGGGGAGAGCATCTTGTTGCAGCTATTTTAGAGCTGATCTCAAAACAATTTCAGTGCTCCTGTAATGAGACCAAACTCTATTAGAAGCACCAATTTAAAGTGAATATATATGCATAGAATCAATTTTATACTAGTATTACTGCATCAGAGCTGGGTGTATGTATCACAGCATTAACTCTTTCTATAACTGGACTCCTCTGTGGGGTAGTGAGAAACCTGGGGGTGACCAGCCTTTTCTTACAGCAATCCTTGCTGTGTCTGATTGGTTTTATGGTGTGCCTAAATTGTAGTTCGCCTGAAGATAATAGGTCTCTTCAGTGCTTCAAATTAAATTACAGATGTTGCAAGGTCTGTTCAGAGAACGACTGTAAGAAAGGCTTGCTTCCTCCTCAGCAGTTTGTACAGGAAAACTATGCATGCCCCAGCTACCTGGTGTGCAGCAGGGGATGGACAATCTGCCCTCCTCAAGACATGGCACTGATCAGGGTGCAAATCCCACAGCTGCAGCTGTCCTGCTGTGTCCTGCATGTGCAGCTGTGCCCGAGGCCTCCTGCCTTCCTGAGACAAGGGTGTCCAGGGCTTGCCCAACAAGCAGCTTCTGCGTCCTGTATGTTTACCTGAGTTGCAGTGGGCTAAGCTCCATGTTGAGATGTCTGTCCCAGATTTCAAAAACGTGTTGCATTCCCTGATTCTTCTATTCCTGATTTTGCCGGGATAGCAGAACAGGGTCTCTGTGCTGTTGTACAAGCTGTACCAAAGCTGTGTGGTCCCTACGTGCTAGCAGAGAGGATGGAAGGAGCTGTGTCAGCTTGTGCCTCAACTGGCTGGGTCACTGTTTTGGCTGTTCGCATACTGCAGAAGGAGCTGGTAAAGTGTCCTGCCTGCCAAGGCCCGCTCTTTAGAAGAAGAACTTGCAGTCTTCTCTTCTTTGGGGAATTGGCTTCCCAACTTTATGCTTGGATGGCAGACTCAGCATCCTGCTTGCTGTTACCCAGCAGGAAAATGTTGGTGTGATTGCGGTGTGCTTTCACGTCCTGGTTTCTAGATCCTGCTGTGGTGCACATGAGCATCTCTCTTGCACTCTTACAGTAACTGACGTGTGCTGGGCCACAGCGATGCTCTGCTTTCTTCTGCTGGATGCTCTTCTTTTAAAAAGCATACTCCCAGATTGTTCAGATCACTTTCACTTGGCTTTCAAGACCCCAGACAGAGATATTTTAGCTGTCTGTTGATGGCCCTAGACTAGGAACTGGGCAACCTGCTGAGCAATCTCCTCCCCTTGGTGAAATGGTGATGGTGGTGTTCTGCTTTTTGTGCCTGCATGAGAAGAACTTCTCATGAGTGCCAGGTGTTGTCACTGCCCTCAGCTTTGATTAAACCCTAAATGCAAATTGTGAACTTATTGCTGTAATTGTCTGCATTTGCACCCATTGCCATCATGAAGATACTATACACAAAATGCTTTGGGAAATTGGAGTAGAAACGCTGATGATCTCCTTCACTCTGAACAGAACTGCAAGGTTTCTACCCTCCTGTATGAAATAGAAAATGGTATTTTTACTATATTAACTTATTTTTGCCCTGGCTGTCTCATTAGCTCATTATTAGACTGCTGGAAGGCACAAAAGAATTAAGTTTTTAGAAGCCATTCCTCCTTGTCTGAGCTGCCATCCTTTTCTCTTCCTCTGGCTCACAGTAGGCTTTATATTAAATATACTTAATAGATCTCCTTCATCATAAGCTGCATTAAAACTAAATTGGAGAGTAGAGGGCGTTCTTACAGGAGATATTACAGTTTAGTGCTCACAGTCTGTTTCCTGCTGTAGGTTCAGGTTGTTTGAGTGGTGTTCTTGTTCTGGGGTTTTCAAGCACACTTGTTAAATGATCTGGCTTAGCCTGAATTGCTCGGTGAAATGAACGCCCAGGTTGTGCCTGTACCACAGGAGATGGCATTTCTGCTGTCCTGGCGTTGCCACCTGCATCCCTCATCTGCTGCAGGTCTTTGACTCTCTCAGAAGTGACCCAGGCTGTGGCACCTGGTGCAGGAGGAGAGACTTGTCAAGACTTGCTGCACCTCCAGCCAGTGCAAGACTTGTTTTCCTCTTAAGCAAAGCATGTGCTTGGGGCTGTTGCCACCCATGGCACATGCCTGCTCTCTCCAGGAAGCTTTTCTTTTTGTGCATTCCCAATGGCAAAGCAACAGATGCAGAATCTGAACTGCCTGCTCTGTAGTCCAGATCAGGGAACTTCATCCCAATATCCTTGTAGTAAGCCTGGGAATGTGTGTTTGACTTGAGCACGGCATCAGAGAAACATCTAGTCTTGACCCAGAGAATGTAAAAAGCTCCGTGGTTTGCACGATCACCCTCTGCTCCTCCTTCAGTCTGTGCCTGTTGCTCATTGAAATTTTTAGTGGTGGAAGAAGGACTGAGGTTAAGCTGGGCTGACAATGTGTGGGGAGGAATTTGGGGTGCTGTGGTAGTTGCGGAGTGGAGGGGAACTGTTGGGCTTTGTGAGTTGCAAGGCTTGACCCTCCCCGTGTTTGAGTGAGGTCAAGTTAGCTCAGAGGGAGTGGCTGGGCCAGGCTTGGTGGGCAGCTTGTTTGGTGCTGGCTACACTCTCTTGCTGTAAAAGCCCAGGCTTAAGGTGCTGTGTCTCTGTCTCCAACAGGTTTGGAAGAGGTCTGGTGCATGGTTCTACAAAGGACTGCCCAAGTACATCACACCTTTGAAGAGCAGTAGCAAATCCAGTGAGCTGCACTCGCAGCCTTGGCTAAGTGAGCCAGCCGTGCAGGAGGCAGAGAGCGTCGGGACCAGCCGATCCTTCACCTGGGCCAGGGGAAAAGGTTGGTTGTCTGCTCCATGCCCAGGAAGCAGATGGGGACAAGTACCTGGCTTCTACTGTTTCTGGTAGGATTCAGCCAGTAGGGAACACTCCCTGTCAGAGATATGGGATAGCCCACAAGATGTAGTGTGTTTCCCTTGTGGGCAGCATTGGATTTTTTTTTTGCTATGCTTTTCAGGTTTTGCTGTTATTTAAGTTCACATTGGTGGCCCAGACTAGCCCCAGTCCTTCAGTCTTCCCTTGCTTTCCTCCATTCCCTGTACCCCCTCACTGTTTTCCTGGGACTGCCAAGAGAACAACAAGCTGTGAAACAGACACCTGTCTGCAGTCACAGCTCAAAGAACTCCTTCTCCTGAACTACATAGGATGGTGCCACTGATGGACATCCTTGTGCAGCCAAGGCTGACAAAAGGCTGGTCTTATTCCCTCCCTCCTTGGGGCTGCTTATTCCTTGCTTCTGCGCTTCTGCTGCTCTACAAAGCACAGTTGGGCAGATATCTCAAGTTGCTTTGAGCTGGGTTAGAAATTATGCTGCCAGCATCTCCCTGGGGCCTGGAGCAATTGAGCAGAGATATTCTTCTAGCGGGCAGGAGCAAGCTGATGCTGTGTCCTTTTGTGCCTGACTCCCCTGAGCTGGTGAGATTCACAAAAGGTGAAGCTCCTTCCCCAGGCCTTGGGAAGGGGGCTGAGGTTTGCAGCATGGAGAGCTGAGTTGTTCTTTAAATGTGTCTCAGAGAAGCTGTTGATTAACTTAGCCCTGTGCAGGGCTGGGGCCAGAGCACTGACAAGCCTGAAGATTTATTAGCTTCAGCACTCACATCCCTGTTCTTTGAGGTAGACCTTGATTGAAGTAGACTGTTGTATCACATGTGGCATCTTGGATCACTGCCACGTCAGATCCCATTCACAGCGCTGCCTTGTAGGGCTTTTTTTCCCCCCTCTCTTCCATCTGCCCACCCTGTTGTTGTTCTTATGCCCACTCCAGAGCTAAGCCTAGAGCCACCTGGGGGCAAACAGCTCGGCATTGAGGAGCTGAGCACTCAGGGTCATTAGCACAGCAGTGGATGGATGCTGCAGAATTAAAGCTGCTGCCAGTCTGCTTTGATTTCTGTTAATTTCTTTCTGGTGTGGATTAGCAGAACTGTCTGGCCTCCCTCCCCTTCTGTCTTTTGCTATTAGATCCCCTCAATTGGAGAAGACCTCTTCAGCGAACCAGCAGCATACACTCTTCCTCATCAAGATAAATCTTATCAGTAGTGGAGGGCGAAATAACCTTTTAATAAAGAGGACTCGGGAGAGTTGGGTTTGCAAACCTTCTCTTCAGGCCCCAGCTAGGAAAGCACTCCCAGCCCTACTGTAACTTTTGTAATTAAAGACAAATTAGATCAACAATAGATGGTTGTGCTTCCCTCCAGGAGATGCTTGGAAGGACTTGTCTTGGCAAATGAACTGATTGATGAGGTATTTTCTGTTCACACGATGCAGAAAACATTACAAGTCAAATGTAGCAGTCCCAGACCTGGCCAGCTTTTTAGCTCGGCTTTTTCGGTGAGCTTTGTTTTGGGAGAAAGCCTCCCCCTAAATACCGTCAGGAGCAGCAAAGGAGCAGGTGGAGGACAGCAAAGTGGCCTTTGGTAGGCTTTGATGTGGGTGGTGAGATGCCTTTCTCCCTCTGCTCTGATTTTTGGCTGGCTGCTATTTTATGGGTTGGATAACATTAATTTATAGTTCTATTTTCTGGTGCTTTCTTTCCTTGTTGCCCTTTTGTATTAGGCTGCCTGTCCTCTGGACAGCTTTCAGTGGCCACTGCGGGCTGTAATTCATCTCTGAAGCTGGGAGCTTGTACATCTTGCCCCTTCATTTAACTCTTTCATCTGCCAGTACTGGGACTTCTGCTTTTTGTCACCCGAAACCTCTGCAATGTGCAGGGCAGCCTGCATCCTTCCCCCGTGGAGATGATGTAGTTGTGATATTGCCAGTGTGAATCCGTGACTGGGCCCGGACTGAGCTTTACAAGGCCATGGCTGACAAGGAGCCTGCCTTACCTCTGCCTGGCTGATAGCATTTGTCAGCTCACAGCTCGTACGCCCTCATCTGAACACGTCCTTTCGGCACTGAGTAAAGCCCTGTTGCTTGTTTGGCAGGATGTTCTCGGGAATGAGGTCTGGCATTTAACGTGCGTGACTCTGACAGGCTGCTCTCGGTGGGGTTTCTGTTATCTTGGCCAGCCCTGTCTAACCCCACCGCTTGCTTCCTGAGGTGCTGAAGGAGCTGTCTCTCAGCTATTAAGGGATCCAAGTCAGGTGGGACCGGTACAGACAGCCATGTCCCAGCACAGCCCCTGGAGAGCCTGGGAGAGAGAAGCCATGGTTGTCCTTTTGGCATCTTCCTTTTGACGCGGGCTGCCTTTCAGCAGGGATGGGACAAACCTCGGGTTCCTTTTTCCCCCTTAAAAGGAAAGGATCAATGCTAGGCCCTGGGTACCGGCTGCTCCTGCTGCAGGAGGGTGGAAAGGCAGCGGGACCAAGGGACCACAGGAACGTGCCTCTTGGAAGAAAAGCCAAACCCACCAGGAAGAAGTTTTATTTTTACACACCCATTATTTCTCTCGTGCTGACTGACACTGGGATTTGCTGTTGCTTTTAGTTTTTCTGTAATAAACAAGCAGTTGCCATGGGAACCCTGCTATTAGTTAAGGCACAAATGTATTGTCACGGGGAGAATAGCAGTAATATTTCTTGTGCTGGGGAGCAGCTCTGCTCCATGTGGTGGAATGTGGGTGGGTTTCTGCACTGGGTCAGGCAGGACGGGGTTGTCAGGGGGTGGAGAGCAATAAGCAGCAGGGCTTTCCTTCTTCCGAACTCTGAGTTCTGCAGGAAAAAATGTAAAGCATCTGGGTGGAAAAAAAAGAAGTGAGATCCCTGAGCTGTTGCACTGTTTGGCATGAGGGCTGCCTGCTGCTCTGCTTGGTCTCCGGTGGTTTCTCCTGTTGCAATGTGTTCTAGTCCTGTTGCCAAGCAATGCGACGTGCTGGGCTCAGCGCTGTCGGAGGCAGAGGAGCAGGGGCTGGGCTGGGGGATGCAGTGGGTTCACCCAGCATCTGTGTGCTGGAGGCCAAATCCCCGAGTGATGGAGCAGATGTTGGGGCACGTCAAGCACTTTGCAGGCCACCGAGGGGGTCATCCAACTTGTCTACAAGTTTGTGCAGCGCTGGAGCTGCGTGTGTGCTGCTTCTGAAAGGGAGTTGCCGCTCATCCTGTGCATCTTGGCTGCGCTGAGCATGTGTGGCTCTTTGGAGCTGTTGCTGCAGGGTACCCGTGAGTCCCCATGTGCTTTTTCTGTATTTTTGGCAGCTGCAAGAAGTGCCAAGCTTTATGTTTGCAGGGACTGAGCTCTGCGCTGCGATGGACAGCGGGAGGGAGCATGGCTGGCTGTTCCCATCGCAGATGTGCTCATGCCCAATGCACACATTTAATATTAGCGTTCAACCCCAGCCAAGTGCACCTTTCTCCTTGGCCTTGGCACTGCCTCCCCGTGTCCTCTGCTGCTGGGTTAAGTGCAGCCCAGCAGCTCTCCACCATTCCCTGTGGCTCTCTGTGCCACGAGGCTCCAATACCTCTGGCTTAGAGGTTGAACCACATGTTGGAGGGATCGTGGACTCTGGCAGCAGCTGCAGGGGTTCAAGCCCTCAATGAGTGACCCGCTCCTTGTGGGAATACTGGTTTTCTTGCGAGTTCTATTTTCACACATTTCTTTCTATGAGCTTTTTTTCAGTCAGCTGGAGATGGAGAGGGATAAATCTGTTACGTTCTCTGAAAGTACAGCTGTCCAACGGCTCTTATTGATATATCAGCAACTGCTGGAACACCAGATTTACGACTTCTGGGCTTTGGAAAGTGCCAGCAGAAGGTCTGGGAGCTTTGGGAGAAAAATTACCTTAAAGGGAAACGTTGGTGCAGTGGGTAAAATACACTCTTATTGGCAGCAGAGGAAATGAGAGCAGACAGGGCTGTTCCTGCAGTGTGAGTGCCTTCATGTCATTAATATTTTCCTCCTCTTGTGCTGGTCCTGTCTGAACTGCTGAGTGGCAGAAGGGAAGGCAGCTAAAGTCACCTCCAGTGATTCTTTCTGGCCTTCTCCAAATAAATCCTGACTTCCAGCATTTTTAAAGGATTCATGGAGGAAGGATGTGTTCTAAAGCAATGGATTTTTTTTAATTCAGGAGGCCAAAAAAAGATGACGGCCAAGTGGGACAGGAGTGCATTTGCCGAGGGAATTGGGCAATGGGATGGTCAGAATGATTCTCAGAGCTGAGATTTGGATTTTGTAGCAAAGAGCCTGGTATGTATGGGTTGTTATTAACAGTATTAATATATATATCCCCACCTCTCCCAGGGAGCTTTGGGAAAATCGTGAAGCTGTCTTTCAGAGAGCAAAGCACAAAGCCAAACCTTTGCTTTGAGGGCTCTTACTGAGAAGTGCAGCCCCTCTGCTGGTAGTGGGGCTTCTTCCCAGCTCAGCTCCGCAGCCCCTTTCCCTGCAGGTGAGAAGTCCCATTTCTGATGGTGCTGGGAGGGGAAGGCTGTGGGTGCAGGAGGAGCCGGTGCCCGGGGAAAGGCTGCGTGGGCAGTGACCAGGGGTCTGGGCAGCCTGCCCCCTGCGCAGCACTTCTCAGCAAGGTGGTGTGCATGGGGAGCTGCCCGCCAGGGCAACTCCAATAACACTTTGCAATAACTCTGGCAGCCAGCTTTAATATCCTCAGAGATGTTAACTCCAGAAAAGCGCTATTTTAGGTATTAATATATTTTTTTTTTAATAAAATATTTTATGTAGTACAGATCGCTGCCTGAATACAGGAACGTCTGCTGAGGTCCTTGGCAGAGACGTTTGACAGCTTGTGCTTGCCTGTGCGAGGGGGGAAATGCCCATCCTCCTGCCCTGCACAGTGTTAAAGGATTTGTAGCTCTGAGAGCTGCATGTAGTGAATTTTAAGGCTGATACAGAGATGAACTGACAGCTCCCTTCGCTACCTACGGTTATCACCTTGTGCCACTGCACCCACATCCCTCCTGTGTCTGGCAACACCATGAGGTTGGGCACTACAAGTAACGCAGCGCAGGGGCCAAGTGGTTTGTTCAGTAGCAGAACGAGGAACTAATTTCTCATGTGAATGTCAGCTTATAAATACATATTGATGAATATAAAGAAATAGTTGGGGCTTCCTTTTTCTACAGTAGAGGCTATAGGTTGCAGTATATTTCCCTCTATTGCAGTATATCCCCTCTATATGGAGTATATTTCTAGTCTATTTCCCACATGAGCCAGTATTGTACTTTTTACCAGGAATTGTGCCCCACTGTTTGAAATGGCTTCTGAGCTGCCAGGAGAGCTGGTATCTGCCTTGGTCAGATGGAGAAATGCTGTAGGCACAATCCCTCAAACAAAAGACAGCTGTTTTCCTGTTACCTTCCTCCTCAGCCCCATCATTTCTGTTCTGAGATCAGGCCATTACAAAAACCCAGGAGTTGAAAAAACACCTTTCTCATTTTATCCAGAGCAGCTGGCAGTTGAGTTATCTTTTACACTGGTACAAGCAGGAGAGGTGTTTGCATAATTGTGTGATACCTGCCAATTTGGGAAGTTGTGTCTGGCAAAATGAGGCTCCTTCAGATCTTGTGCAAACTGTGGAGGGTGAAAAGCAGCAGGATTAGGGCCAGAATTTGGGGGTGGGGGAAAGAAGGGAAAAAAAAAATTGGCCTTGAAATGAGGGAGCAGTCTTCTTGAGGAAGAGGAGTCACCCGTGCCTTTTAAGCCTTGGGGACATAGGAGTAATTTAGTTCTGGGCAGTGTGCTGATAGGGATGAGTGTCTGCTGAATGGACCATGAGCTAGTAAGGCTAGTTCTTCATGTAGTCACTGCAGAGTTTTATAGTAGATATTCTCAGTATTTATGTGGTGTTTTCTTCAGATCCTGGAGCCTCCACAGCCCCTCTTCCCACATTACTCCAGTGTGGGTGCTCTTATTGTGGAGCTGGGACCCTGCAGCTGAGACAGAACTAGTCTTGTACCCAACTCAGCCCTTACTGTGTTACTTCCACATGGGAGACAGCAAACAGCATGAGGAGGGGGCTCACTGTTATGCCAGGATGGGGGTCAGCAGGAGCAGAAGCTAGCTCCCAGACCAGCCACACCGCAGGGCTCTTAGCTTTGGGCAGCAAAGTGCGGTGCAGGGGTGATGTGGTCCTCATGGTCCCAGTGAGGTTTAGGACAAGCACTAGTGGTGTGTGCATCTGCTTCAGGTGCTGGCATCACCGGAGTATGTGCAGTGGAGTTACAAATCATCTGTAAAAAGTAAAAGCATGCCATGTTTGGGAGGAAGAGTGAACAGCTGTGGGGAAACTGCAGGTAGGGCTCCTTTTGGAGAGGGGGAACGTGATCAGCGAGTCAGCATTTGTTCATGTTTTATTTGGATCCATCTGGCACCCTCTTTGGTAAGTGTTATGAACATTGTGAATAACTGTCTCTCTCCTCTCCTCCCCCCCGATCTTTTCTGCAGTGGTTTCTAGTGACAGTGAGAGCGACTCGGAGTTCAGTTCCTCCAGCCTGGATGACAAACCTTTACCTGCGGGGTCGAAAGGCTCACAAGGCAGAAAACACCGAGCAGGACTGGGTGAGGAGTTGCTATTCCTTGTGGCTGGAGGGAGAGAAATGGAAAAGTGCTTGAATGTTTAGCTCTTGGTACTGTGGGTTTTGGCTCAGCTGCTTGCCTGCCCTACGGGGGTGCAGCCCACTGGCTTTAGCTGTGCTGGGTGAGGCTCTGGTCCTTTATCACTGGAATAGTATCAGTGGGTTAGACTGGTGGTGGGGTTACTCTATTGTCTGCAGCCTTTCAGGGTCTGTCCTTGCAGCTGGGAGCTGCTCCTGGCTGCCTGGCAGCATGTCTCCGGCCAGTTCCTCACTCCTGACTTTATAGCACTGGAATTGCTGGTGCCATTTTAGGAGCAGAGCATGGGAACTGGATTTTGGCCCTTCTCCTGGAGGTGCCTGGCTGGGAGCTGGGTGGCTGCTGCTCTCTCAGGACTTAGCCCAGCATCTGCACCCTCTTCTCCCTCCCACAGCAACATCTCTCTGTTGTGTCCCCGCAGCACCCGTCGGGGAACCCAGCCAGGCTGTGGTGCTGGGAAGAGCCCACTCCCCTGCCCTCTCAGGGAGCCACAGCAGCCTGGGCAGTGAGCAGGGGGCTGCCCTCAGCGCCACGGAGAGCTGCCAGAGCGACCAGCCAGCGGACGGGCGCGACAGTGATGTTGGCAGCAGAGTCCCTGGTAAGCTGACCCTCCTCTCTGGGGAGATCCATGCTTTTGGGGCTGACTTCCCTCAAAGCACAGCTTTCTCAGAGGCACACCTGGCAAAGATGTGGCCCGGGATCACCTTTCCCTGCTGCTTTTCTCGTGGCAGATGCTGTCACAGCATTACAACTCACTCCTTCCCTCTTCCCTGCGTGCAGAATCTATTCTGCAACATGAGTAATCGTCTGGGGTGGGAGCTGCCTACACCCGCCTCCAAAAGAAGCCGTAGCCTGGGTCTGTCCCCCTGCAAAGGCCCGGAGCTCCCACCTGCCCTGCAGAGGCAGCAGAACAGACTGAGCTTTTACTGAGGCAAAGCAGAAGTCCAGCAGCTTTATGAGACTGAATAAAAATTTTCCTAATGTTGGATGGCTCTTAAAGCCAGGCATGGCTCTTCCCAGAACTCTGCAGTACAAAAAAAGACACTTTTTTCCCCCTCAACAACCTTGGAACAATTAAGTGACTGCGAGCAGAGGCTGCTATCGCATCTGATCTGGAGCAGCTGAAAGAGATGCAAATGTGTTCTCTCTGCGGTTCCTGCTAATCTATTCAATAACCCCTTAAGTTATCGTTTAGCGCCGCACCCTCCAGAGCGTTCCTGCCGCCCTGTGAACTGCCACTCCTTTTGTTCCTGAGCCTGTTTTGTGCTGTGCATGCTGAGGCGTAAATTGGATTAGAGAGAGCAGGTTTATCCTTTAGTGCAACATAGAGTCATAGTCCCCCTCCCCACGCTTCCTGCTAGAAATAGGCAGCATAAAATTGTTTCTCTGCTCTTCCCTCCCTCCCCAAGTTTCGGAGATTTGCGGTTTTCTTTAATTTTAGTTTTCACAAAGCAAATCAGATGAGTGATACTTCTGCTTTGTCTGTCCTCTCTCTGGATTATAGTGCCGCCCCGGGACTGGGTTTATTTTAAGCCCCTGTTGGCTGTGGCATTAGAGACGGCTGATTCCCATTGTGTGTTGGCTCCGCAGTCCTTGGGAGTGGATCAGCAGGTTGTTCTGTGGGGCTGAAGCAGGAGGTGGTGGTGGTGGGTAGTGGCTGTGACCCCTTTGGGTGCTTTTCCTGCTGGTGCTACGTGGCTGTGCTGAAGTCTGGATGGATGCACACCTGGACCCTGTGTTTGTACAGCGCTTAGCACTTTGGAGCTTTCCTGCCCACTGTTCAAACTAACTGCTGCAAGGCTACGGCAGTGCAAACAATATGTCACAGGCAGAAAATGCCTTTTTCCTCACAAAAACCTCATATGCAAATCTTGGCACAAGAGGTCAGCGCTTTCCAGGGGGATCTCTCCTTGCGAGGCGAGGGAGAGCTAAAAATGACAGGCAGCATGGACAATATTTTAAAAATGTAAACTGTAGCAATCTCATGAGCCCAGTTAAAATAGTCCCTGAGACGTAGAGAGGATTCTGCTGAGGAAAAGGTTAAGCCGGGTTGGCTGACTAGAGAATATCTGTAAAGATCTTTATTATATCTGGGGTCATTTATTTCCCAGTCTTCCTGCAGAAGTGGCTGCTTTCTTCAGACGTGGTGCTTGTGGCAACGATTGCCTTGGGAGGAGGGTTCTGTGGCCCCCAGCGCTGGGGGAGGGAGGCAGAGAGAGGGCAGCAAGTATTTCTGCTCATGTACTGGGGGGGAATGAAGCTGGTGGTGGTTGCAGTTGGCAGGTACTGGCTTGGGAACTGGTGCAGAGTGGTAGCAAGTGGTGTTCTCCATGTTGTGTCACATGAGGGAACCAGCCACCAGCTGAGCATCCTCCTGGGCCAGGGAGCAGCTACAGGCTCAACAGGGAGTTAGGTGGCACTACAGCTATGGCTCTGTGCCCACAGGAGGTGCTTTGCCAGCAGCCTGGCAAGAGAAGAGCAGAACCAGCACTGTAGTCCCTGGGGAAGTGACCTGCTCTGACGAGGGGTCCACGTGCTCTGGGATGCTGAAGGGTCTCGGGTGTGCAAATGCTGGGAGCCTCCAGGCAGAGTGGCATCTCCTCCATCTTTAGATCAGAGCTTAGTCTTTCTGTGAGGGGCTTTTCGTGATGGGTCCCTCTGGATGCCACTGTTGGCCAAAAACCAGAACCTGCTTTTGCTGTTCACCTCTTCAAAGAGTGGTGGAGGTGATGGGTGCTGTATGTCAAGACTGGGAAAACTCTTCACTGCATCTCCCTGCCTGTGGGACAGTCCCTGGGCTCAGCTCTGACCCTAAAGCAGAGCAAGGGGCAAAGATCCTTGCTCATTTAAATTGCAGATTCCCCTCTTCAAAGAGTGGTGGAGGTGATGGGTGCTGTATGTCAAGACTGGGAAAACTCTTCACTGCATCTCCCTGCCTGTGGGACAGTCCCTGGGCTCAGCTCTGACCCTAAAGCAGAGCAAGGGGCAAAGATCCTTGCTCATTTAAATTGCAGATTTAAAGGAAGATTTAAAGCTGCAGAATTAAAGGAAGTTTTTGCTGTAGCTTTTCTGAAAGGGTGTGCAACTTCGTAACGCTGTGTTGGGAGCAATTTTTGCTTCATATTAGCACCTCAGGTGTTGTTCTATCGGTGACTTTCTTTTTGCTTCTTTTTCTCACCTCTGCTCTAATTCCAGTCTCAAGTGCGACTTTGCAGAACACTTTAGCATTCTTAAATCCCAGGCCACAGCCAGAACGGGGCATTAGGGGGTGGTACTGCAAATGCAGCTGTGCTCATAGTCCTTAGCTCTTTAAGCCTGAAGGCCAAGACAACAGCATGGTCGTGCAGCCAAGGGAAAACAAGGACCTATTAAAAAAAAGTTTGCAGGTTTCCAGTGTGTTGCTCCAGCTCTAGCTGGGGTTTGGTGAGGCAGATAATGAAGCCTGGGGTTTGTCATAAAATGACTCATTGTCAGAGCTGCATTGGGATTTAGGCAACCTCAGCCCATGAGCCAAAGTTGCGGAAGAGAGTGGTGAGTTGAGAGGCTGCCAATTTTATTTTTTTTTTATACCACCTGCTTTCAAACCCTTTCAAAAGTACCGTTTTCTGAGGGTCTGGTGTTTCTTCTTCTTCTGAAGCTCCGGTTCCTGGAGGTGCCCGTTCTGACATGATAGCTGTTAAGAGGAAGGTCATGTGCTGGTTTTCCTGGAGAATGTTTTATCCTAAAGAGAATGAAATTTTCACACAGGAAAGAAGCCCAGTCTTTCTTTTTCCACTTACTTGCCCCCAGCTAGGGAGGTGACTCACCTTGTTCTGGCTGTACAGCTGGTATGTTAAGAGATGTCTCAGTTAAAAAAGACCAAAATCCTCACTATTGTTAATTACAACATTTTTATTAAAGGGAATATTAAACAGAACTAAACAAAGAAATCATCAATATATTACAGTGGTTTTCATTAGCCTGTGGAGAGCTTTTAACGGAGATAATGTCTTTGAGCTTGGACCTGGCTACTGCAGGGGGTAAATTAAGACTCCTCAGATCAGTAGCAAGTTGTACTTTGATGGGCCCAAGTTAATGGGGTCCTCAGTGTCTTCTGAGGACCTTGTGTAAGGAATGGGTCAATCCTGTTTGATATTCTGTGGGTCACCTGAACAAATTGCTGGTAGGGAGCAGTGAGTGAGTTTGGCATGGGCTGTGGGGCTGGAGAAGACTCTGATTTGTGCTTAAAAGAGGAGGTTTGAGAAACAGCCACAAGATAAGCTGATGAAGGAGTAGCATACGTCTGAGTGCAAATCACAGTCTCCCCATCTCTGCTTGTTTGCCAATGTGTTGTCTAAATCATTAATACTTAAAGAGCGCTACAGCAGCTGGCAGTTAAACAGAGCCACGTTAAACACTGGTGTTGCTGAGTCTAGGAGCTGAGGCAATGATGGCAGCGCCTGGTGGGGTATAAGAAACGTTGTGGCTTGCAATCACAGGTTGAGACTGGCTGGAAGGACCTCCAGAGGTCAGCAGGTCCAACCTGAGCCCTTCTCCCGGGGGGCTGAAGTTGTAGCTTCTGGATGCCTCTCTTTGCTTGCTTTGTAGCTGTTGTGCTGGGAGAGGATGAACAGGGCTGAGAAATGGGCCTGGAGCTGAGAGAGATGGGCAGGAAATGCTGCTTCCAGCTCTCCTAATTTGGGGAGATTTATGCCCTGTCTTTCAGGAATTGACTGGATTTAGAAATGAGGTGGTGTCGCGCTCTCCGTGGCTCAGTGCCTGCCTGGCTGGGGTAGACATCAACTTTTGCTCATAAATATGCAGGTTGTTAATACATGAGACAGGCAGAGCCATTCTGCATTATTTTTGTGGCAGAATATTCTCAGGCCATCTTTGAAGTTAAAGCATTAACATCTTTTTTTTTCCCTTTCCTTCTGTCTCTCAGATGTCTCTTTTGTCCCCTCAGGGACAATGAGAAGGTAACATTTTGCTTCAGTGGGTCTAACTACTGCATTCCATGTAGGAAAAAAAATTGTCCTAACAGTAATTAGCCTCTGAATGGGATAATAATTTCTTTAATGACTTTCTTCATGGCAGTCTTTGGGGAGGTGACTTTTGTTTTCCTGCGCTTGGTGAGAAAGTTGCTTAAATGTTTTCTGACTGCTTGTTTCCCTTGTCTGTGTGAGCTACAGCCAATCCAGTGTAGTCTTCCAGGATTGGCGTTGCAGTGGGGCAGAATAGGTGGGCAACAACACGAGGGAGCCGTGCTTGCAACCCCTGCTCTTCCTTCCTCTGCATTTGGTCTCTGCCTGCACTGAGGGCACAGGATAGGGAGGAAGGGGGAGGTCAGATGTGGAGGAGAGACCCTCACCTACACCCAGCCTCTCCCCTCCAAGCCTCTGCCCCCTGCACTGGCTACTTTCCCCCCTTTACTTAAGGCTTGCCACCACTGTGATGGGATTGAGTTTTCCTCCTTCCAAGGAGGACAAGTTGTCCGTCTTCCACAAAGTGAAAAAATTGAATTGTGCCTTCATGGCTGAGAAGCTTTGAGCCGTCTCTGTCTCCTCGTGTTGGTACTGCAGAGCACTGAATGGTCCTGCTGTATTTATAAATAAAACATGTCTTTGGGTACTGACAGCATTAGGAAATGATTCAAGATTTGCATTCTATATACAATGCATTTGTAAATAAGAACCTTAGAAGAAGCATATGCCCCTTCCATATTTTAAGAAATTAAAATATTTTCGTCCTCAAGTGATAGAACCAAAACATTTTCGGCTCTTTTGAGTCTGTCTTGAAGTTAAGTGAATAAAGGCTCGAGTACCTAAAGAATAAATTACTTTCACTATTTCTGTAATTCTTTATGGAATTTTAAATTGAAGACTTTTCCCTTGAAAATAGAGGAATGACAAAGACTCATTCTCTTTCCTCTTTCACTCAATATATCTGGAAACAAGTCTGCTGCTGAAGATGAAACTCCTATTTTTGTGCCTTCTTTCACATTGCAGAGGTCTGTGCTGTGGTCTTTGATCAAACAGCCTGTCTGGCCTCCTGCCCCCCCGTCCTTAGACTTATTCTCTGCCCTTTGCAGTACGTTTACTCCTTCCAACTTTCTATTCAGCATTTTACACAGAGCACTGAGGGCAATAGTTGATGTAATCTTTCAAAACAAAGCATAAAGGAAAGAGTATGGGAAGTCAGTAATAGAGAAGTTAAAAGTCTGGATTTTGGAGTCTTTGTAAACACAGTGAGAGGTTTTATGGCTTGGGAGGCTATCTTTCAACTGGGATGTCGGTCAGTAGCTGGTAGGAGGAATTTGTGGGACTCCTTGTGCCTTGAATGGCAGTGACTGGAAACATCCCCTGCTCTTTCTCCAGGAGTAGACATGATTTGTGCCCCCTTAAGTTCAGAGAAGAGGGAAATAAGTTAGCATTGACCTGTCACTGCCTTAGAGCTGTCCACATTGCCAGCCCTGCATTTCACCCCATGTGCTGGAACCAGTGTGCCCCAGCAGACTCTGAGTTTTGCCAGGGGATGCTGAAGTGATTAGCTCGGATTCGTGTAGCTGACATGAGCCAGAGTGCCTTCTGCAGCAGAGCATTGTTGTCCTGTGCCCATCCCCAGTCCTGGGCAAGGGCTAAGTTCTGCCATGGCTTCTGTCCACAGCCCAGGCACACGGAGGGCAGGAGGGTCACTCAGAGGACCTGCTCTGTGGCATGTGGATGTTGTCACCTGATCTGGAAACCCCTGAGAGTTGAAGCTTGGCTTTTTGTCTGACTTGGCTCTTTGAGGGAAGCATTGTACCAGAGGACCAGTTCTAGCAGTACAGCTCCTTCTTTCTCTGTTTCTTTCCCCTGTCTTTTCTTTCTTTAATAAAGTTTAATGAGCCCTGACTGCTGGCAGAGTGTGGAGTAATGATGCACAGACGTTCTCTTCATTATTATTTTTAGGAACCTCTTAAAATGGCACTGAGCATGTAAAAGCGATGTAAAATAACTTTGTCAAGTCTCTCCCCTTCACTCCTTTCCAAACAAAACTTTTGTCTTTATATATTTTGAAGGCAAACGGCGCATCCACACCAGAACGCGATGCTGATGGAGGTGAAGATGGAGCTCCTTTGCCTGGATCCGACTCTTGCCCCTTGCCCACTCCTCTAGACCTCACTCCAGACGACAGTTGCTGCCACTGGTGACTTTATGATGCCAGCTCTTGCATTAGCAACACAATGGCACCTGGGAAAGCACCTGCCTGTCCTCCCTGCCTCACTGACCTGGTTTATGGTTTGGTCTGGTTTCCCCTTCTGCTGACTGACACACACTTTGGGGTGCTGCTCGGAGAGGGGTGCCGTGCTGTGTGGTGCTGCCATGGTGTCCAGACACATGTTTGTTGAACGGGGCACACAAAATGCTCACTGGAGCTGAAGAAATGTGTGCCACCTGCCGTTCCTGGCCTGCCAAGCCCTGCCTTGGGTTCAGTTCCTTGCTTTGCAGTCTTTAGGAAAAAGGGAAGTTCACCCCTATGTCCCTGAAATGGGGTGTGAGGAGACTGCAGCCCAGGGGTGGATTTCCCTCTCTGAACCCCAAGGGTGAGACTGGGGCTTCCATTTGCTCTTGACTCCTGTGGGCCCAGGGTGTCACCCCTTGTATTTCTTGTCATCGTTGTTGTGGTTTGAGTTGGTATAAGTTTGGTGGGGGCATCCTGGTGAAGTTGTGCTCCTGTTCACTTCCACTGAGATCTCCCTGTGATAGAGCTGTCTGCTCTGGGAAACTCTTTAGTTAATTAAGAAACACTCAAAGATTTGCTCTGAATTTTTCAGTCCTCCTGGCCATGCACTGGCCTGTGTGTCCTGTGGTGAGGGTGTTACTTTGGCAGTGGGGCCACGGGTAGTGTGTGTGTGCTGCAGCTCCTGGTGGGAGAACACCCACCACCCCATGGCCCAGATGGCTGCCTTTGCATACCCAAATTGGATAAAAACTTTCATACTACTTTTTCTTGTTAAGCTCTGTCGATTCTCCTTCTACATGCATGCCTTGTCAGCTCTTGCATGAGCAGGGGCCTTTCTTTTGTGTTTTATGTTTTTCCTCCAAGTCTTGAGCATCTGGCTGATAGGGATGGTGTCATCATGAGTCAGGCTGTAGAAAGCTGAGTGCCCTGCTCCTGCTTATTCTCTGGGATGGCAATTTCCCTCCAAGGCCTGACAGATGAGAAAAATCAAATTACCTGACATCTCCAGAGCAATTAAGTCTTTGAAGGCCTGAACAAAACCCACAGTAGGCAAGTAGGAGTCCGTGGATTTTTATTAAATGCTTTGGATCTGACCCTTCTTTTGCTGAAGGAACAAAGTATTCCAAAAGCTCCTTCTGAAATAATGGATTTAAAGGCAATTTGTGCCTGTTAATATTAGCCTTTTCCCTTGGTTATTACTCTTTCGTTCTGTTCTCCTTTGCTGCTGGGCGCTTTGTGCGCATGTAGTATATGTTTTTACAAATGGCTGCAGTATGAAGATAAATGAGATTGGGTGCTGGAACACTCTAACAGGAGATCGGAAATCAATCCTTGACTTTCTTTCTAAATGAACATGGTCCAACAGAGGCCTGTTCCCTTACTGCTGTTCCAGCTAATGTGCTGTGGCAAGTTTCTGGGAAAGTCCTTCCAGCTCCTCCTCCGTGATCTGTTTCTGCCCTTTTAAAAATGACAACAAAACCTTTGGATGATGTGGGCTCTTTGAGATGGCATAAAGAGAAACCACTGAACGTGGGCTTCAGAACATCGGCCTTGAAGAGAGCAAGGGATGAGGTTGTTCTCTGCTGAGGGATGCTTTACGTCATGATCTGTGCTGTTTGAGCCTGGCCATTGAGACTTGACCACCTGCATCTCTCAAAGCAATAATGCCAAAATTATTAGCTTTTTCTGAAAAAGTAAATCCGAAAGTCAGCTTTTGCCAAAACGCTAGTATGACTTCAGAGCTGAAGTCATGCTGTTTCTTCTGAGGGACTGTAGGGTCTTCAATTTCAGAAGTGTTCTGCCACCAAAAAAAGTCCTGTTTTGCCTTGGAGCTTTTGACAGTCCTTCTGAGGCTGTCTTGCTCGTGCTCTCATTACCAGAGTGCCTCAGACCGCTTGGTCTGCCAGCCTAAGTTAATTCTACAGAAGAAGGAGAAGGAAAAAGACACTTAAAAATTGACTCAATTTTCTTTAAACCCATTACTTTCTCATCAAAAACTCTACACTGAGCTGGAAAAAGTTTTTAAAATCAGGCACAACATTTCTAACTCTTCTTGTGTTTCTTGTGCTTCATTCCTGGGCGATGGAGGCAGGTCAGTCATGTTTTCACCCCAACCCTCTCTTCTTAGGGCCATTTACCACACTGTGTGTTGCCAGCTCTGCACAGGAACCTGGTAGTCCTTGCTGGCTTACTGTGCTGCTTTGAGGCATGGGTTTGATTTTTAACTGAAGCTAGGTTTTATAAAACGCTCTCAGAGTTTTGGGACTGTTCTTCTACCAGTGAGACTGGAAACTTTTCTGTCTTACCTCTGTATTTACCTCCATGGAGTAATTCCACCTGAGTTTGCGCCAGAACCATTGTCATCTATGGAAAGACCCCGCTTGAGTTGAGGGAAGGATCGAGCCCAGGAGAATGTGATCTCCCACATATGAATGTGATACAGGAACATCTGCAGCTCTGTGCTCATATTTTCTGTTAAAGACCGCTTTTCTCTTTGTTACATCTCTCTTGGTTGTGTTTTGTAGCTTTGGTTGGAATATTAGCTGAAACCTGTAGCAAGTTGACTGCCTTTTTCGTTGGCTTAAGGTGGGCAGGAAGGGCTCAGTGAATAGTGCTCAGTCTGCTCTGGTTGTTTGTGTTTCTTTTATTATTTTGTTATTCTCGTCTCCATCCCTTACAACTTTTATGTAGTGTTTTACTACTGGAAACAATAAAGCTTTGGCTCGATAACAAATACTTGGCTTTCTTGAAACAGTAAAAAGTTGTTTTCCATTCCCAGGTTGCAGTTACTCTCCAAACCCTTGGGCTGGCTCCAGCGAGGAAGGAAAATAATCCAGGCAGTGGAATGGTGATTCACACGGCTGGAGCGTAATTGAATTCTGCACTTGGAACTTGTCTTTTGTCGTGCCCTTCTTTGGTACCTCGCGCTGGCGATGGCAGGGGGCACAGGTCTGCTCCTCAGCCCCTCTGTGGAAGGTTTTCCATGTTGTAACCACTAAGCATAAAGCAGCACTGCTTGTCATTCTGTCAAGTGCTGTCCCCACGGCTTCCCAAGGCTTGTCACTCGCTCTGGTTTGACAATTGGGGTCTGTTTGGTTTTGCCTGCAGAGAAGCGTCTCCGCATTGTTCCCCGAGCGTGTGCAGCCCTGACTGCTCTGCCTTCCCTTCCACTCGGCATTCAGCTTCAAGGTTTCAAATGGCTTTTTAATCTGTTTTTGCTTTTCCCATTTTAAAAGCGCCTTGATAATTGCTGTTGGGATTGTTTTGCTGGGGAGCTGCCATTAGTCCAAGGATGGAGCGTGTCAAGGACTAACCACCTCTTACGTTGTTCCTTCCCCCCTGTGCTTGCCATGACAACAACCAATATATGGGAAAGTCAACTGCGGGATCTCTGAATCAGAAACAGTGGCCATGAATTGCCAAGTTTCCATGTTTGCTTTATGCAGTTATGGTTTGAGGGGAAAGCGGATGCTTTCCCTGTGGGAACCGTGCGTCGTAGTTCAACGTAGCTGAAGCAAATGGGCTACCAGCTGGTGTTTAGACAACAGGGAAGGCCCTGGACTATCAGCTGGAGTGCTTGGACAGTGACACAGAATGGCAGATAATCTCTGCAGATGGCTGAAGTTCATTGGTAAAATAAAACTTAGCAGCAGTTTGCTCTTCTCTCCTCCTCCCCATCCCCCCCAGAAGAGGTTTTCTTTCAGGGGAGAGGGCTGGTGGCAGTGATGTCTCATCAGCCTACCTCTCCCATTTCTTTCTGTCACGGCTCCCATCGCTTTATTCCTCTCTGCAAGGGAGACTGCTCTTTGGATTATAATGCCTTGTTTCCTCAGGTGGGTGTGATTGAAGGAGAGTTCAGAGAAGTTTTTTTGATGCCGCAATCAAATAATGAGATTTTCAGCAGGCACAAAGATGGCAGGTGACGGGTAAGCATCTTGTGGAAAACTTTTATCTTGAGCTGCTCATTCAAATTCCTTCCTGACCATTGCCTCTTATTAGCAGTACATTCAGGTAGTGCTAGAAATGCCAGCGATGCTTGAGAGGCACAAGATGAGGATCTTGCCGTGCAGCTCCATGGCAGTGCAGAGACAGGAACGCGATGTGTGCTGTGTGGTAGTGGACACGGGCAGCCACGCACATCCTCATACACCCCTGCCCTTCTCTCCCTGCAGAAGTATTTCCTCTCATTATCTTCATGGCAAAACATGAAGGGAGCCCGACCAGCCTCGTGGCTGCTGCTGGCCTCTGCCCCGCTGCCAAACAGCCCCTGGAGATGCCTGTGCAGCACCTCTCATCGGTGCCTGGGAGCTGCACTTTTGAGGGACAGATTCAAATGTGCTTGAGGCAGAGGGCTGTACACATTCATCTCCGTGTTTTGCAGAGGTTCTGTGGGTTTGTTTGAAGGCATCCGCTGTGTTTCTTTTTCCTTCCACTGATTTCTGTCTGGCACTGGAAGCTGTTTGTAAAATCTTGGAGAGATTATTGCTCTTGTTTTCCCTCTCTGGAATGAGTGGCTCTGCATGATGTGTTCGTATTTTGCCAGGAAGGAAGGATTGTGGTTTTAAAGTATTTTTGTTGTGGACTGTATCAGTTTAACAGCAACTGTTACGCTCTGAGCCCTCTTAGCCCCCAGCTATATGCCATTTTCTCTCAGGTGCTTCCCTGTACTCCACAGTTGACCAAATGCAGCAAACAGGAGTTACCTCCTCCCTTTCTCATCAAGTCTCCTACCAGCCTAATCACGGCAAGCAGTTATTATCTGGGGCTGGAGACTTACTGCTAATCAGGACCTTATCAGGGCCATCTGAGCGAGGGGTGCTGGCAGAGACATCTTCCCCCTCCTTAGTGTGACTTCGGCTTTCAGAGGTAGCTCTGACTAATTATCACAGGATTGTGGATGCTTTTATTTACTTGCAATTATACACCTCTGCTCTGGCTGTCCTATCCCATCACATCCTGTCAGAGCAACCCCTCACATATGGAATAGCTGCTTTCTAGGCTGTGGTTTTGGGGCTGGATTTGTGAGCTGGGTGGAGAGCTCACATCTCCAAGACTGGTCTTTGCTTTTTAAGGCTGTGCTGCTTTGTAATGACAACCCTGCACGGTGTCCCCCAGCTCAGCACTGGCTCTGGGCTGGATATTTCTGAGGGTCATTCATCCCCAAGAGTCCCCAGACTGATACATACCCAGCCCCTGGATGGGGACAGGAGCTGGATCACTGAGAGCGGCTGAATCCTGCGTTATTTATTTTTCTGCTGGTGAAGCCAAGTTCAAGAGACCAAGAAAATCTCGGTGAACAGCTGAGCCCCGCTGCGGGAGAGCAGGGAGGAGGATCTGGGCCCTGGGTGAGCAATCATCAAGCCGCTGACGGGACAGACCTTCATCTTCAAATGACACTCATGCAAAATTGAACTTGTCCAAGCAATCACACCATGGCCATTAAAATGGTGCCTTGGAGGACAGAAAAATAAACTGAGAAACACAAATTAGGGATATAAATCTTTCTGGCTATGTCTGGGAGGTACCTGTTTAATTAGCATCGTTGAGCAGCCTTGATGTAGTAAGTGCTAAGTAGGAAACTTGCCAAATTTTCCCTGTTTTGATAGCAGGTGACTCGTGTTCTGTTTGAATTTCCACCTTGTGATTGTTTTCCTGTACTTGTCAGAGTTGTTGTGTTGTCTGTAGCATGAGGAATTAGCTGCTGTCACCTAGGCTAATCAGATGCCACTGCACCGGGGAGGAGCTGCCTGCGGTCACGGATGTCTTTGCATCTAATGCCCGAGGGATTGCAAAGCTATTTAAACAAAGTATTGTGCGGTGGAGTTCATGTATTTAATCATGGTTTTTGGTTCCTGTCCTCCCAGAGCACAGAGGTCACTCACTACATGGCAATTTTAAAAGCGGAGCTCTCCTTCCTGCTGTGTTGGAGGGAGGACAAGCTCCGTTTCCTGCAGAGGACTCGGCCACAGGGCTGGGATCCAAACCCAACCCCTCTCAAAGGAGCTGAACACAAGAGCTGCCTCACATCAGGTTGCAGTGAGCTGCTCACACTTTTCTGCTCTGCTTCTAGTTCTGCCTCGGTGAGCCAGGACCCCCAGGGCGAGGTGTTGAGCCTGCACAGAGCCACATGTGTTGGTCCTGTGTAAGGGACAATCCTCAGGGCATGGAGGAACCTTCTGCCTTGAGTCCCCTCTTGCACAGCTCTGCTGTGGGCTTTGGAGATTTATTCATGTGATGAGTAAGAATATCTCTGTGAGGATTTGGGTTAGGGAGTTACTGAGCCTTTGTTTATATATCACCCCTGTGTATTCCAGCGCTGTGATGCTAATTGGTACCACTGTAACATGAATCTTTTTAACACTGATAATGCTTTGAGTTATTGGATACTTGGCCTGGACCTGCCTGGGAATAGCAGGCGAGACGTCCAGAGGTGCTGCCGTCTCCCAGGCATTGCCTCGCTGGGTTTTCATCCTGCCTGTATTCATCCTGGCAGCCTGTGTTTCATGCCATTTAGCAGATCACTGTTACTGACCTGTCACTGTGGGAGACGGTGGGATTAGGATGATGGAGTGGTTGGAGAGGATAAACAATAATGATGCTACATCGGCGCAACCCAAACAATGCCTTTCTCTTTCATGTTTCTTTTTTCTGTCGGTTCGCTATTCAAGTGTAATAAGATCAGTGCAGATAATTTGTGTATTCATACAAAACATAATTTTCCCTCCTGTGCTTTACCAGCTGCACTGCAGTCAGAAAGGCAAATACGCACTTTTCTTTTGCATGGTTATGAATGGGTGCATCTGTTCCTCGAAGATAGGGAAAGGAGGGTGAAAGGACTGGAAAGGAAGGGAAGAAATCAGATGCAGCCCATTTCATTGCCTCTGTGGAGAGGGATGCGTAGAGGAATCAGATTTTTGCAGCAAGGGCTCGGTCCCACACATGTATTTGATAGATGGGTGAGACACTAGTGTGTGGGAAAGGCAGAGAAAGGGGGAGCAGCCCATGGAAGCACAGCCCCCCTGCAGCAGGGCAGGGATGCCTGAGGGGGTTCAACCCCACCTCAGTCTGGGTCTGCAAACTGCCAGGCAAGGACAGCCAGAGATGTGCATGGGGCTGGTCCTGCTCCTCCACCTGGGCAGCAGCCGTGAGAGCACAGCTGTCTGCTTCCAGGGTTGGCTCTGCTCTCCTGGTGCTGCCTTGCTTCAGCTCTGCGTAGGGCTTGGTTGGGAATATGAGGGCAAAAGTTGGAGCTGAGCTGGGCTGTGATTGCTCCTCCGAAGTTGGAAATCACAGCTGCCTTGCTTCCTGGGATCTTTCCCTTCCTGTGCCAGGGACTGCATCCCTGAACCTTCATCTCTGCATCCCCCAGGCTCTGCCTGACATCCCCAGCGATGGCAGGAGTAGGCGCTGGGCTAGAGGTTGTAAGCAGTGGATCTAATTTATTGGGCTTTCCTTTCTCCCTCTTTTCACTTTTCTGAGAGAGGCCCATTAGAGAGGCGAGGGGAGGGAGAAAAAGGGGTTTAATTTTCTCCTGTTATCTGGTGTCTCCAGCTGTGAGCCACATTGACAGCTCTGGACTGATCAAACACTTGAGCAGCCTCGATTCAGCGTCCCATCTACGTGGTCATAAATAATGTAAGTGCTCTGCCCCTGCCTGAGCCCATATCCTGGCAGCAGTGAGCCAGCACGTTCCCTCCTCCTGTTGCCATGATGTTGGGCTCCAGCCTTCATTGC